ATTTGTTTTGAATTCTAGGAATGATGGGTATCCTACATTTATTAGTCCTGCCATGCAAATAGGTTATATGCAAATCCAGGAACATCTGGTATGTCCACATGGAAAGAGCCTCTGATGGTTTCATACATGCAGTCTCCAAACTCTAAAAACACGAGTTGGGTAGAGCCAAGAGGTAGTTCACCTGTCACCAACCAAGTCTTGGCCATTTCAGGAGGAACATGGTCCCCACACTTATGGTGCTTGTTAACAAATCTGAACAGTGATACTTCTCTCTTTCCCCACATGTCCAAGGCAAATCGCCACCAGGCCACTGTACAGGCATCCACGTAGGCTGTACATAAACATCACAGAGGGAACAAATCATTGTGGGCTAACGCAGGACATCTTCATGACCCTCAACTGGCCTAAGTCTAGGAAGATGGCCACTAAAACAACAAACAGATGGTAACCAGGACAAATAACCCCCTCCTGTGGACTGCCCAAGGAGTCAAGGTCTAGCAGGAGGGAGTGGGCACACAGCCAGCAAACGCTGTCAGATAACACAGCTGTGATTTCAACACCAAAGGGATTTGTTCACATTTCAAACTCGGGAATATCCCAATTTCACTAGAAAGTGCATAGTTGGGAAATTTTCCCACCCCCTTGCATAAGAAGCACTGGAGAAAACAGATATAAAACTCCCTGTTCTGATAACAGGGTAATCTCAACTAGAAATTTGGATGGCAAACTCCCCACTATAGCAAAAAGAGTAAATGAGGTAAAGTGCATTTTTCTTGAGTGGAGCTGTCTTGGTCCCTAACAGAAGTAAATTTCCCACTGGGTTCAGAATGGAATTCTAAAAGAAACCTGACAGGCTGGTGGTCAGCCTCTTAGCTGACAGAGAGGCATATGATTATCTGTGAAGATCTTTGGACTGGGAGGTCAAGACTACAACCCTCAGTTGTGTTTTGACACAAACTTAACCTGTTTGGGTCTTTTCTTGAATGGTAATATAGGGCTCACTTTGCAAGATGACTTAATATCAAAGAGATAAAGCATTTGAAACCATAAGGATTTGATTTGGCAAATACGGTTGTTTTTTTACACATTATCCTCTGATCATAGGCAAGATGCCCTAAAGGAGAAAGGAATACAGTAATCTATTCAACTGCTAATCCTTGAATTAAAGGGACAGGGGCTGGTGGGAATTTTGTGGGCTGGAACTCAAGTCTGCAAGTGAGCAAAAAATGTACAAAGCTTGGGGATATGTGTGCTTCCTTGTGATTTTCTAAAACATCAATGGAACCATTTAAATTTACACACACAAACATACCAACATTATCCAGCTGCCTTTGCCTGCAGCATCAAAACCAACATAAAGCCACCACTTTTCCTTTCACACCGGGAACAGCTGCTATCCCAGACAGGAGCCTGCATCCCCTTGTCTCTGTCCTGAGACCACTAGACACTTCCTGTCTGTTAGCACAGAAGCAGAAGAGTGGGAAACACTGGAAAAATAGTTAAAGGATAGGAAAATAAGTTTTGGACAATCTCTTTTCTTAAAATGTTTTTGTAGAGAAAAAAAATGCTATGAGTGGAGGTTTTGTATAGTTTGAAACGAACCTAATTGCCATTTTGACATGTTACTAGCTAAATTGTCTTTCTGGGCTTGAATTTAAGAACAGTTTGTTATGTTGTTTTTATAAGGAAATGTAGTCTGAGTTGCAAATAACCAATTTATATTCAAACTTCAGGTGTACAAAAACAAGTCAATTTTGTAAGCAAAATTGCAGTAATTGTTTTCTTTGGGCATTTGTAATGAGACAAAAACAAAAAACAGTGTATGGTTCATTTGCATGATCAGCAATAGGATTATATGTACAAATCTAAGGTAATTAAATTTTATTTGCAAAAAAAGCATTAGCATTATTGAGATGAAAATTTTGTAGGAAAACAATATGAAACTAATGCTTTATGTAAGATGAACAAGTTTATCTAACAGTTGAAATATTTTTTTTAATTGTCCATGCAATTAACTGCATATATAGTATGACCAACATTTTATGAAGTGCAATATCATAAGAATAGCTAAGTACTATCCAATCAACTTAATCATCAAAAGGACTCCAAAAGGTGTGATTGCAACTTCACCAATGAGTTAAAAAAGGCACACAATGTAAGTAATTTTTTCAAAGTCATATGGAATCCCAAGTTTTCCCACACCTTTCACTTGTAATGTCAATATTATACTAAACTTTAGTAATCAAAGCCTTGCAAATATTTAGATTTTACATATTTCCAAAAGACTCTTTTTAAAAAATTTACCTTTATTTAAGTACAATACTTTACTAAGTAATAATGAAGTGACTAGTTACAATTTGGGGGATTAAAATATATAGCTAGTCTCATGTTTTGAAAATTCAATATAAGGTAGCACAAGTTAGATGCAATCATCCTAGACTTAGGGATGTCTCCATCACACATAGACAGTAGAAAAGCTACTTATGTAACCTGAACATCTACTATCAGAATTATCCAGGAACAGCTTGCCTCCAGAGTGGCAGAATGACAAACGAAAGGGGTTGAAACTCATCTTGGCCGCTTTTGAGTAAATACTTCAACTCTTATATTGATGATCCCCACTTTGCAAGGTTGTTGGCAAAATACATTGTAATTATTAAACATGTTCTACCCGAATTCTAAGCATCACTTAATCTCAGCCTACACAATGGAGAGTTGTCTGTCTCACAAAGGTATAAGTTTTGAGCAAACCTGTGAAAACACCTTGTGAAACATATAGAACTTCCCACACAGCATTCATGCGTTGAGCCATAGTTTAGGTTGAGTAGTGGCAGGAGATACACAGCACCTGGGGATTGACACAAGCCATAGGTCCCCAGGGTTCTTAGCCAGTGAACTTGGCATAAAGCCTGTTTCCCCAAAGGGAAGGCAGCTTATCCCAACAGAAATGGGAGACAGCAACACTCAAGTACCAGCTGGCAGGTACCAATTTCAAGCAGTATCCTCTTCAAAAAATAATTGCAACTCCCACTCAACCACAAAAGAACCATGAAAACATGTTAGTGATGAGCTCAGCTTCTATCAGTGGTGCAATAAAATCTATGCCCTGCAAGAATTGATCAGTTGGTCTTCCACTTCAATTTCTTTCATGATGTATTGCCAGAGTCCAAATCTTTGGAACAACTTTGAAGTTCTAAAATAACGATCCATGTGCTGAACCACGCTTCAGAGTAGTAAGAAGCCCTTTGCAAATTCAAGCTAGTAGGAAAGTGAAGCAGGTGTCCCCTCCCAGTTAGGGAATAAGTGCCCTGACCTCTTTCCAGGCTCAAACATCCAAAAAAATTGACAGATCAAATTAAACAAATAAATTGAGGTCCAACGAGAAAAAGTACAAATCTTAAAGGTGTGTCAGGTAACTCTTAAGGAATCAGGCTACATTTAAACGGAAGGTTTAATTCCATTCTTACTGAAGATGCCATTTCTTTGTACTCCTGAAAACTGCCAATAACACAAAGAGCCATTTCGGTTCCTGTAGAATGTTCAAGGAAAAAGTATCAATTTCAACCAAGACCCTCATTGTACAAATGAGAATCAGATTCCCAGATTTCTGAACTTGGTCTATTTCACTGTGTTTTGTCAGCTAGGATCTTATTGGTGATTCAACCAGTTTATAAAGTACTTGAGAACCGGGCTGTAACCCATACATAGATCAGCTCTCAGTACAAGACATATTACCAGCTCAAGGAAAACATAATACTGAATGACCCACTGTTTATTTCTAAAATTCTGAACAATTATCTATGATTACAAAAATGAAGATGGTAGCTGAGGCAAGTACTTCTAGGGGCAAGCTCCTTAAGGGCAAGAGTTGCTGCCCCTTTAAATGACTGCTAATTTTTAAAGTTGTATTTCAGATAAGGCCCACTAGAGAAGACAGGAATTGATAAAAATCACCTAAAGTAACACAGCCCCTCTTCTCCGTGACCTAAAGCAAACTTTGCCCATTATAATGCTAAATTTTCCACCTAGGAGACCTTCCTGTCTGCCATTTTTGAACATGCCATGTATAAAGAAGCATGACCTGGAACTGAGCATGCTCAGGAATGTATCTTTTTCTCTCCCAGTTGTGCTTATGGGCTTTGCACTGACCAAGGGGCAAACCTATTACTGTCAGTAACAGAAGTATTTGTGCAACAAAATCAGGAGCTCCAGCAAACCTAAGAAAAGATGAAGATGCTTTCAAGGACCCAAGAAGCTGCCCAGCAGGGTATATGCAGTGGAATCTTCCAGTCACTAGAGACAGCCGGTAAAGCTGATGGCCTGATCCCAGCAATGTTTATTCAGGGATGTGCCCTTGAGCACATGGAAACCTTGGGATGATTTATGATAAGGATTTTGTACCCGGCCACAACCCTGAGCAACTGAAGAAACAAGAGGAAAGTAGGCTATCACTTTCAGTACATGAATACTAAGTCGCTTAATATGACTGAAGCAGTATCCAACCATAGAGGCCAGTTTGCAAAGGGCAATTTTAAAATATAAAATGATGTTTTTGTCAAGGGTTGACCATCAATCTGAACCAAAAGCCAAGAATTAATTACCTTTTACTAACTCATGTCCTGAAAAACTTTTTTCCCCTGATTCAAGGACATAAAGGCTTATTGGAATTTTTTTAATTTGAAATGGCTCGAAACACATGCATATTTTCAAAACACTCTCATCAATAAATGGAGCTGGAAAATGTCATACACTTGCATCCTTGCTAATGTGATTTAGTGGGTATACCCAATGTGCTAGGCATGAGGCTGGACATATTTTCATTCAATCTTTATGACCTGCATTGTAAATCATATCTTTTCATATACCTGAATATGTTCACTGAACGTGTGCTCAAAGATCTATATCATTTTCCCAAATATTTTACTTTCATAAGAGGCTGTTGTAGTTAACAAGTAATAATGCCAACATTCATAATACCTTTATATTTAGGAATGACTCACTTTTAAAAACACGAAAGTAATTTTTTTTTAATTAGAGGGAGAAAAGGCCATATTTTAATACAAAACCAGATGTGACCAAAGAACTATAATGGTCTTTAAGATGAAGAAAGCACAATGACAGAAATCATGATACAGTACACCTCTAAGGAGCCTACAACAGACTAAGAAATAAACACACATACCTCCCCAGTACCCCCCACACATGTATGTACAGGCTGTATGAGCAATGATTTTTAAAACACATTGGAAGAACAGGATGAACATACCCACGTATGCAAATGTACATGTTTTCCTTAGAAACATAGCATGGTTTTCTTTCATTTTACTAAGCTTACAGAAATTCAATCTAGAATTATTTCATGCCTAACACATGTAAAGGAAAGAGTATAAAGCAAAATTTTGCATTTTCCTGGGAGTTGTTGATTGCATTTTTTTGGGGGGAGGTGGTTAAAATCTACATACAAATAGAGGTTGTTATGTTGTTTGCTATTTACTTTAAACAGATTACCAAAACGCTTTATACAGCACTATTTACATTACAATAGATATGTTACACCAGCAATGGTGGCCAAGGGATCAGTGCTTCCAAACTTCTCCAGTACTTACATGTGGAGATCTAAAGAGGACAATATATCCAGAAGATAAGGAATGGTTTGCTCCCTACTGACAAAGTGCTCCCTGACCAAAGAAAAGTCCCTATAGGCAGTATCTTCTGGTCAGCCACAGTCATTATCAAGGAGTCCAAACCCTCGAGGCTCTTCACTGGACCTTGCAGTTCTCACTACTCCTGGGCTCAGGTGCAGCACCTGGGCTTGGGGCAGGACGGCCTTGAGTGGCTCTCAGGCCCTCTCTGGGGTTGGCAGCTGAACTTCTCTCAGGAGGATGATTGACAGACAGAGATTTCGTGGTGGACTCTTGGAAGGCAGAGCCTGAACCGCCTTGGCTCTGTTGAGCAACCTTGACCTGCAACACACACCTCTGTTAGAGACTAAAATCATAATCACATGTATATAACATGAAAATACAGCGCTATGTCACCAAGCTCATAAGTTGTATACAATTTTAATATATTCTTCCCTGAGAACAGGCTTCACCTAACAGAGGAGTTAGAACATCAGACATGAACTTATAACAAGTCATCCAACTTCCCTGGACACCTCTGATGGCCAAGCTTGTTCCCAAGAAAGAATTTAAAACTCTTAGAAGGCAAAGACTATCTTTCTTACTTTTGTATCTCCACTGCCAACAATATGCTCCATTACTTGGGAAATGTTTAATATACTCCTAAGTGAGGACCAAAATCTGCCTCCATTTGTCCCAACTGAACCTCTGTTGTCATTTAAAATAAGTATAATCCAAATGAGTAATACTAACCTCATAGGTAGGAGCTCTATTTACAACATTTAGAAGACCCAGGACCTATTCTTCATATAAAGATATTTTAATTGGGCTCCTTATGTTGTTGTTTGTCTCACCACTAGATTTGCATTACAGCTGCAGGGCAGCTATCAGATGCCCTCTATAAGGCCCTGCCTTTCAAGAGAAGGAGGTATCCAAAAAAACTGAGTCAAGATTTGAGACTTATCTAGTAGTGAAAAAAAAATATGGAGTCAGAAAACAGAAAGAGCAAGACAAATGAAGTATAGAAAAGCTTCAACTCAGTTAAAGGCAAAAATTGAAGCAACAAGTAAGGAGATCTTTAAAAGAAAAAGAGAAAGCCAACAGGTGGTCAGCACAGATGTTGGAAAATCATGATGTTACAAACGTTCCCTGAGTGAATGACTTCCAGGGACCCCCTTCTGAAGCAAGAAGAAAAGAGAATGGAAATTATTTTCCCCTTTATATTCTTTCCATAGGAAGTATGTAACTTTAAAAGGCAGTTAAATACTTTTCATTATGGAAAACCGTGAATCTGGCCAACAATTCAAACCCTGGAAAGCTTACTTCTATCTCAGATCAAGTGCAGCAATGAAGGACCAGGACTAAGTGGAAAATTACCATCCATGAAAAGCTGAAGGAAAAGAACAGGGTTTTATTGGTATTATCTTAAAAGAGAGAGAGAGAGAAAGAGAGAGAGAGAGAGTAATATCAAAGCAAGTGTTTCCCTTGAATGCATCAAAATATAGGAATGTCAAATCTTTTCTACCTAAGAGAGAAAATGCATAAGAAATAATAAATTGAATCAGTAAAGCTTTTTCTTAATCCCAATTAAATGCCTAAAGTGCACTCCTTGACTTCTGCTCTCCAGACCCTATTTCTCTGATACTCAATCGAAGAAGCTATATTCTGTGATTAGAGTTTAAACTAGGGATTTGAACCTCACACTGGTTAGTTAACCTTAGAATGGTCCATGAACAGATGAAGTCAAATTCACCAAGTATTTAGTCTATTAAGATATTGTATCCATACCCCAATCATCTTACCAGTGAAGGCAGCCACAGTGGGGAGAGAATGATGATGTGCATGTCTCAGTGAAAACAAACTTCACTGGCAGAAAACTATGCAAGGTTCCCATTGAAACACAGACAGAACCACCACTGTCCGTGATGGGCTTATAACATAAGGCTGGTCCTCTGGCACTGAATGCCAAGTCCACGGTCAGATTAAGTCTACCATCTATCACTGGCTTCCTTGTCCCCAGCAAACTGGGAGCTCCTGATTTATTCATCCCCAATAAAGATTGGGGATTCAACATAATCTGCATTTCATCCATTTTCCCCCTTTGAACTTATCAGATGTCACTCAATGTGAGAGAGAACTCTCTCTCTCAAAATTCAGCCAGTCACCTTAGGGGAAAGCTCATAATCCTGGGTGTCTAAGCACAACATTGCTTAGCAATTCATCATGACTACTGGTGCCTACTGAACTGCATAGCTAATGCACAGAACACAAATCTGCAGGAAACCATGGTTACTGCTCTGGAGCAGCAAGCTCAACAATAGTGTAGAAAGCAGGCCCCCTAGTGTGCAAAGAGCTTTTTCTTAGATAATAAATCTGAACACTACATGCGAACAGCTTTTACCATCAATTCCTCATGAAAGAAGGGGGAACAGCAACACAAGCTGATTTCATAAGATGATTTCCTAAAATACCTTTATAAACATCTATTACTTTGGTCACTTCAAGACAACATTCACAGCTCCATTCATTCAACAAATATTTGCTCACTGTCAGGCTTCTCATTAGAATTGAAGACACAGGTAAACCACAGACATAATCAGCTACCTACTCACTCTGCAAATCAGAAGACAGACATTGAGCAAGTACAAGAAAGGCAACTGCCTTAAGATAATAGAAGTACAGAGGACTAGCGAAGTGCCATAGTTTTCTGTTTCACGGGAGGGCCAAATACTTCATTTGCTCTCCATAAGTATCAAACAGGAACAGATATTGGTTTCTACTGGGAGTAAGGGTGGCTCCTAGTCAACTCTCCAGGAAATGACACACTCTATACCAGAAACCCAAACCTGACTCCTCCTGACTCTGTGTACAGAAACAGCAGCTGTTGGAATATGTAGTATTAGGAATAAAGATCTGTTAAGCAGGGGCTGGGTGTTGTGGCTCAGCGGTAGAGCACTCACCTAGCACATGCAAGGCCCTGGGTTCGATCCTCAGCAACACATAAAAATAAAGGTATTATGTCCAAATACAACTAAAAAATAAATATTAAATAAAAAGATCTGTTAAGCAAATATTCTCTATACTTCAAATACATTTTCTGGGCTGCTTATAAGCTACTTTCAGAAATACAGAGGTCTCAAACATTCTGCCCTATCCTCAACAATCACAACAGAGAAATCCATAAACAGCTCTTTTCTTTGGATAGCTAATGAAATAGTGCTTTCTGCAGAAAATAAAGCATAAAAGCCATAAACAATAAGTAGCTGGAGGCAGATGAGTGAGAATAAAAAGTCTGAAACAAACTATAAGCAATATGCATGGCCAGAAGCAAAACCTGTCTTTGAATCCTTTAGCAGTCATGCTTCAAACTTTCCTACAAGTCCACTGAGGTTTCACACAACAATGTCATTTCTCAGCAAACTATTTGTAAGTGGTCGGTTGGGTGGAGAATGAGATCATGCTGCAGGACACTGTAATGCTTATCCTGGGGCTTGCTCACTGCTGACTTATCTATACCACATTAGAAAGAAAGAAGATCAGACTTGAAAGGATGCAGAGTCCAACCCTGGCTCAGATAGCACTGCAGTTTCTGAATCGAAGATAGGAGATGGATGGATGTTCACAGTAGTTTACCTTTTGTGATCTGCTGCCACCAGCTGTTGGTTTGGAGGATTCTGCAAGGTTTTCTTTGCCTGAAGTTAAGGGTGACAGGGCTAACTTCTGTGCAGCAAGGCGAGGACTGGTCCTAGTCGCCATTGTTGTTCTCCGCAGGACATATGGGCTAATCTTTCCTGTTGGGATGTCAGCAAACCCTAAGTCCAAAAAAGGTGACTGTCAACACTGGTAGGTCCAATACTATATAGGCTTCAAATGACATTTATTAGGCAAAATTTTAACAAAGATAAAGGTCCAAAACTATCTTCTCTCAGTCACAGAGACAATGTAGTAAATTTAATAGTTATTCTAGGAGTTATCAAATTGAATGAATAATTTATATGTTATCTTTTATTAGAAACATAAAAAACTGTAATGGAAAAAAGGGGGGAAATAGCATTACACAGAAAAAAAAAATTCTGCTTCTTCTTTTAAGATCTGAAGGACACTAACAGGCCTCATTAAAAAATACGAATTGGAGAAAAAAAAGAGGGGAATGTAAAATGGTAACAGCAGCTTTAGGCAGCCACTCCCATGCAGGACTAGGTAGGACAGACTAGCCTTCCAGATAAGGACTTCACACTCCCTAGGGGTATCTCCTTCTAGAGAAGGAAATGACATGACCTTCATGACTAAGAGAGGAGATCAATCCCAAGGACAATAAAATCATGTCACACTCCACAAGGACCTTCAGGGCTAACTAAGCAGTGATCATTTCTAAGCCTTTATAAATAAAAATCTCCTATCAAAAAGAGATAGCTAAGTCTGAGGATGTAACTCAAGCGGTAGTGTGCTCGCCTGGCATGCACTGGGCGCTGGGTTCAATCCTCAGCACAACATAAAAAATTAAAAAAATAAAGATGTTGTGTCCACTGAAAACTAAAAGGTAAATATTAAAAAATTCTCTCTCTCTCTCTCTCTCTAAAAAAAAAAGAGAGAGAGAGAGATAGCTACCTATATAGTGGCTAGTTATTCAGAACAATGTTTCTCAAACCATCTATGGCAAAGAATGCATCCTGATTTTTGTGGGGGTAGGAAGAGATAAGGCAAAATGTCAATCTGCTGTGGAGTAATATTTTTGTATAATAAGACTGAATCAGGGCTGGGGATATAGCTCAGTTGGTGGAGTACTTGCCTCGAATGCACAGAGCCCTGCGTTCAATTCCCAGAACCACCAAAAAAAAAAAAAAAATAGAAAAAAGTCTATGTGCTTTGACGTTACAGCAATTATCACATTGCTATGAAAATTTCCAAACTCTTACTTTCAATTTTTGAACCTTTCTTTGTCAGTTTGTAGACCAGCCCCAGGTACCTGAGCCACACTTGGTTTTTTTGAAAAAACAAAAAAAAGTGTTCAGTGGTTTCAGGCAGGGTAGTCAACCTCACCAGGCCCTCTGTCCAGCTTGTATACTATCTGAGTTGGACCCAACTCAAGAAAAGAAAGCTTGAGGGGTCCTTGATTTGTAGATTTGTCTGCAAAGAAATATCAAATTCTAAAAGGATTTTGACAGTCATTTTTCAAACCAACCAGTTCTTTAGGTAGTATGCCATGAGTAATTAATCCTACTCATTCCCTCATGACCAAAAGGAAGATATATATCTTATCAATTCAAAAGTGGTTTCTAAGGCCAGTTAGGATTGTTGCACAATAATCTAATACCTCTAACTCTTTTACATGTGAATTTTTCAAAACAACACATATAATTTTAGTTATTTTGTTGGTGGTGTTGTTTTATTTGTTTTAATTTTGGTTCTAGAGACTGCAAAAGCTAAGCATGCACTCATCGCCCAGCTATACTCCCAGCCCTAGAATTTTGTTTTAAAATTATGCATACCTTTCTTTACAACCTCAGGGAGTCCCTCTGGCTCGTATTCAGTCTCTTCTTCATCCTCAGCAGGTTGAACCCCACTTTTGCTGGTTTTTCTAATTTTTTTAGGAAACATCTCTGGGGTAGAAGGTGTTAGTCCTCCACCATTCTCCCAAATCCCACTGGACCTTTGCCTCTTGCCTGAAGCTTTATTTTGACCAGATGATGACTTCTTTTCTCTAACAGAAGAGACTGAAGATGGTCCTGGAACGGGTGAAGTTAGCAAAGGAGAACTTCTGAGATCACGTTTAGATTGCTGTAAACTCAGACTAGCAACTTGTGCTTCTAACATCTCTTTTGCTTTCTCCAGATTTTCATGGCTTATGAGCAGGGAACAGTACTTATCCAAATATTCATCTGCCTCCTTGGTTTTTTCTTCAAGAGTTTCTTTTAGCTCTTTGAGCTCAGTCATTAATTCATCCACTTTAGCTTCCACAACATTGCCTGTCCAAAATAAAATGATATATTATAGTAATTTGATGCTGACCCAGACACATTGGGCATTGAGAAGCAGCAAACAATTTTAGGCCTGTTCTTTGAATTTTTTAGAGGATTTATGGAGATTTATCTATTCATGTTCTAAGAGTTCAAACAACTTCTATTTTGGGAAGAATCTACTTATTCTAGCAGAATTTTAGCATGCTCTTATTGGAATAGCTTAAATAAAAGTCACCAAAATCTGAAACTCCTATTTCAGCCACCCTATTAAAACTTCCTTGTAAAACTAATTACATGAGCGCTTACATGAAAAATGGCTTTTTCCTCACCCATTCTTTTAAACATAAGTGAATAAACATAAGTCTCTATTGTATGGCTTTGAAAAAGTGTAGGGGACCAGTGAATAGGGAAGTCCAAAAAGGCTCTGAAACCATTTAGAGGTAATATAGGGCCTGGTGGACAGGAGTTTGGGGGCACTACAAATCTCCCTGAAACTCCAACCTACTCCCACCCAGAGCACTTCCGACAGGGGAGAGTGCTGTGTGTCCTGCACGCTGCATTCTAAGCACACTTACACCGTGCCCGCCACCATCTGCCCACACAGGAGGCAGGCTACACTGAGGGCTAAGTGGAGAAAACTGATAGGGAAAGTTATCATTTCTTTGCTTTTTTAATTTTGCCAACGTACCCAAAAATACAGCTCCCTACATTTTCCCTTTAAGCAAACCATGAGGATGGGCCACAGTGAACCAGAATCAGCCAATTATAAATTAGCAATGTCAATGCAGATCAAATGCCAATCTGCCTTTGATGGAGAAAGGACTTAAGTAGGCATCAACATGAAAAGCTCTTCTTAGAGGCTCAATAACGAAAGGTACTATTGTTTAAAAAACTATCAGGTTTTTGCATATTTTATAGAAGAGTAGATGAAATAATTCTATTTCAAAATGCAGGCCTGCTTCTGCATTCTATAATGACTTCAAGAACAAAATTCAGAAATTGGAAAATAGATAAGTGCTCAAAATCAGCACTGAGAATAGGGCACTATAAACAGATCCTATACATGCACACCACAATGCTATTTCACCACTGGGAGACAGTCTTGTAACTGATGTGCTTAGCTAATGCCCACCTGTCTTCTGCTTCAGTGCAGCTTCAAGTTGAGAGAGCTCTTTCTGCAGTGTTTTCTTTTCCTCTTCCAGCTGTTTAAAGGATTTGAGCAACAATTTTATTTTGCCCTGGGCATGTTCATTTTCCTTCTTTAGCTGATTTACATATTTTAGATGGTCCTTCTACAAAACAGAAGTAATTCCAATTAAAATCATGAATTTCTCTTTATAAGCATATGGGAAAACAATTACAAGACATAATAAAGAATCATATATTGTAAATTTAAGAATTGTGTGCAAAACGGAACTTCTGAAGACACACACAACAGTACCCCTCCACTCAGTTTCCTAAGTCTCCCAAATCATAATGTTCTCTCCTTTCCTTTGTTAGTCTCACAATCATCAACCACGTTTCCTAAGATAATGTCACATGGCTTCTTCAGGGCCATGATAGTGAGATCACTGCAAATCTGATCAGAACATAAGTCTGGTATCAGTTTTTCAAAAGCTAAAAAGAGTATGGTGCATTACAGGTCTTAGAAAAAAAACAAGGGAAATGTGCACACTGAATTATCAGAGTGTAAAGAGCCTGCCCCAGAGTAAGTCACTTTGCTGTTATTTAGTTCTTCCAACATCACCTTCAATTCTTCAGTTAGCCTGCTCTTCTCTTCACTAAATTCTTTTTTCAGCTCTGTTGTTTTCTGTACCATCTCGTGCATTTCCCTCTGCAGTTCAGTTTCCTTCACAGTCATTGTGTTTACCTGAAATTTAATGTTCATTAGGTTCTGCTTTTGGTGGTCTGTTTTGATCAAATTAACTACTCTGATACAACCTATTTGTGACATTGCTTTAGCCTGAGACAATGAAATGAAACCTGGCTAATCTTCCTTTCTATTCCACTAAACCAGTACCCTCAAAACCTACAGGCAAGCTTACCTCTTCTTCTCAGCAAAGATTTAATAAAAGACAGGAATAAGGAAAAGAATAATAAGGATAGCTAATATTACTATGTCTCAAAATCCTTCATAAAGGTATTAATTTGAATGAAGCATCAGAGAATAATCAGTGAGGCACACCTTAGCTAATTATCAGTTCGTAAACCTCTACAAATCCCCCTGTATTGTACTCATCTGCAGAAACATGCCTATGATTAGTTAAAACCAGTTGTATTATTTGCATTTGCCCCCTCAGGTTGAAACAACCTGGTACAGTTTGTCTTATCATGTCTACATTAACTGCCATCTCTCACAAAGATCACAAAAACCTGAAACATGGAAAACACAAGAGTTATGATGAATTACATTTTCCTGACAATTTCTATGATTTGTTCACTAAAATTTTAATTTGATTAAAATTACTTCCTAGATCAGTGAGTAAACATATTGGGCCACACTTATTTTTTCTTTAATAATTTAAGCTTTTTAATGGCAGATCTCCCCTTTAATCATCACCTCACAAGACAGAAGACTGCACAAAAGAAGGTAATAAAAGAAGGAGCTCATACCACAAAGCACCTCAGACAAATCCTAGGAGCCATGAATGCTCAGTGTCTTTATTTTCTCCTAAAAGTAAAAAAGGCAGGGCAAAAAGGCAAGAGACCCCTCCAATACCAACCAGTGCCTGTTACTCTGATATTAGTGGCTCTCAACTGGGTAAGGGGAGGCTGCCACTCTGATGTACTTACTGGAAGAAAGGGAACTACAACAAGAACCAGTAACTACACATAATCCAAAGCTTACCCCATGTGCAGGTGTCACATTAAAAATTTGATTCAATCCATGAAGATGTCCCTTATGAATGTGTCACAGCAGTTACTACATCAGAGCCAACTCAGCATTCCCACAGTTCAAAACCCCACAAATACATCTTTACACAGTATGGTACAACAGGACACACACCATCTAGAAGGAATTATAATTCACAAGTGGTTTCCCTCCCTTGTGATTACATATTTAAATATAAATATATGTAGCCACTTACCTTTTCAACAAAAGACATTTTTTCCCTTTTTGTTAGTTCAAGCTCACTCTCTAGATCCTTATAAGAGTGCTGCAGTGCTTGGAAGGTGTCCTGCAAAGTGTCATTTCTGGATTGCAGCATTTGAACTTTCTGCTCCAATTCCACTGCCACATTTCCCAGTTCTGCTTTTTGCTTCTGCCAAACTTGCTTCTCTCCTTCCACCTGGGACAGTTTAGAGGCAAGCTGTTCTTGGTCTTGAATTTGATGTTTTAGCCTACTGACTTCTTTATCCTTCTTCTCTAGTTTCTGTTTGCCATCCTCCACTTCTTGAATAAGACTGTTCACAGAAGATTGCAAAAGAATATAATTAGTTTTGGCTTCATCAAGGCTCTGTAGCAACTGAGCCTTCTCAAGTTCAAGAGAATCTACTTGATTACTCAGATTCTGTTCTTTGGTCTTACAGGCCTCTTGGTCATTACAAAATGTAGTCATTTTTTCATTTAGCTCTTTTAATTGTGATTGAAGCATCTCCACTGCAATTTCAGATTCTTCTTTCATCTGTATTTTCTCTTGCTCTTTTTCTTGCAATAGATTTTCAAATGAGGAATTCTGTGTTTCTAATTCAGATACTCGTGTTTGCTCTTTTTGTAATTCTTTTGTCAGATTTTCTTTTTCTGACCTTGTATGAACAAGATCTAATTCCAAGTCTCTCAGGTTTCGGGTCATCTCTCCAATGTCTGCTTTCAGAGTCTCTACCTCTGCTTTGGAGTTCCTGGCCTCAAGAATCACGTGTTCTTGGGTTTTCTCGGACAGCTCTAGTTCTCTTTCAAGGTTCTCAGCTCTCTCTTTAAGCAAATCTGCATGATGCTTACTTTCTTTCAGTTGTTCCAAGACCTGGAGCTGGTTCTTTCTATCAGCTTCTATGTGTACTTTCAGCTTTTCAAAGCTGCTTCTCAGCTGACAGACTTCTTCCCCCGGTGGGTCTAAATTCTGTTCCTTGGCTTTCTGGGTTTCTTGGTCATTATACAAGGCTTCTACTTCCTCGTTTAGCTCTTTCAATTGTGTTTGAAGCATCTCCACTTCGGTTCTAGATTCTTCTTTCGTTCGTATTTTCTCTTGCTCTTTTTCTTCTAACAGATTTTTTAATGAAGAGAGCAACTCGTCTAATTCTGACACTTGCCCTTGTTTTTCTTGTAGTTGCTTTGTCAGATTTTCTTTTTCAGCCCTAACTGTGACAAGGTCTGACTTGAAAACATTCAGGCTTTCAGCCATCTCTTCCATCTGAGTTTTTTGGGTCTCCATCTCTGCTTTGAAATTCTCAGCATCGAGAATCACCAGCTCTTGGTTTTCTTCTGACATCTGCAATTCCCTCTCAAGGTTCTCCACTTTATCTTTCAGGGAATCATTCTCCCGCTGGCTTTCTCTCAGTTTCTCCATGACATGGAGCTGCTTCTTTTCATCAGCCTCAATGCGGACTCTCAGTTTCTCGATGCCTCTTCTCAGCTGATGCACCTCCTCCTGGGTTGAGCCCAGCCTCTCTGCAAACTCACCTTTCTCCATCAGTGCAACTTCCAAGGCCTTGGAGACAGCCAACTTTTCATGTTCTGACTCCTGCAGTTTGGCCTGCAGGCTTTCAGATTCCCTCATCAGTGATCCTTTCTCTTGATTCAGTTGTCCAATTTGGTTCTCCAGTTCACGCTTTGCAAGAGACAGGGCCTCTGAGTCCTCTTCCAAATTCTGAAGCTGCTCCTGGAGATGAGCTTTGTCTTTCAACAGCTCACTCACATCAGAGGACAGAGTCTGAAGGAGTTCTGTTTTGTCCTTGACCTCAGCCTCTACCACCTGAATATGATGAAGACTCTCACCTTGTTGAGACTCCAGCTCTTGAATTTTCTCCTTCATCTTTGCAGACATCTGATCCAGGGCCTCATTTTCTTTTGACACAGAATCTAATTCTCCCTGAAGCCGGTTTCTCTCACTTGTGACCACAGAGAGCTCCTCTTCAAGGCAGACAATAACTTTCTGCTTATTTTCTCTATCTTTTTCTAAACGTACCTTCTCTGTTTGAACTATTTCCAAGTCAGCTTCCACAGAAAGGGCATGATGTTCAATTCTAGCTTTCTCAGATGTGAGCCTGTTCAGCTCATTTTCCACATCAAGAAATTTCTCTTTCCATTTGTCATCTGCCAGGGATATGTTACCTTCAATAACTTCATGCGATGATTCATCTGTGCCCATCTCCAAATCAGAACTAAAGCCATCTGAAGCTTCCACTCTCTGGCATGACTCCTGGTTATCCTGGTTATGAGAAAAGGATTCCAACTTTTCACTTAAGTCAGATTTTTCTTTCTTGAGTTCCTCAACTATTTTCTCCCATTGCATGCATGTTTCAATCTTGGTCTTCAGTTGTGCTTCCTGTAAATTGAGTTTTGAGTCTAACTCTTTTATTTCATGTAGCAAACTTTCAACTTTTTTGTCCCGGTCTTCTATTGCATAAAGTAATCTCGAATTCTCGTTTGATGTCTCTTTCACTTGCAGTTGGAGATTTTGGATGTATGCCTGATTCTCTAGAAAATCCATGGGTACCAAAGTATTTGGACCAGAAAATGCCAATTCAGAAATACATCCTGAATAGCCCTGGATTTTGTCTTCTGCTGGTATCTCATAATTGGTTTTTGAGGACTTCTCCCCAGACTCCTCTCCTATTAGTCTGGCTGTATTGGTATTGGTCTCACTGATTTTCTCAATCTCTAGACTGAGGTCTTGCTGAACATCTTTATCACAAATCTGATGAATATCCTGCTTGAGTGTTTCTTCTGTAGTTTCTGAATTATGTTCTTCCTTTATGTCACAGCTATCATTTTGGTCCCGAATAGCCTGTTATTATAATAGATCACAAGAATGCATTTTATTTTTCAAGAAGCATCAAAGAGAATCAATATTACTACTTTATAGAAAATGTTATCTGGCTTCTGCTAAAAGCAGATCTTTCCAAATCACATATTTCCTATCACATCTTTCCATCTGCTTTCTCTGTCCAAATACTCAACACAACTAAACATTCAATAGGTTCCAAATATGTGCAAGGCAATGACAATGTATTCATCATGAAGATATAAGTTACTTTATCAATTAAATTTAATATATTGAAATTTTTTTCTTCCTTGCTAGGAATACTCTAGCTCTACATATAAGATTTCTTTGTGGGGCTGGGGTTGTGGCTCAGCAATAGAGCACTTGCCTAGCACATGCAAGGGGCTGAGTTCAATCCTCAGCACCACATAAAAATAAACAAATAAAATAATGGTATTGTGCCCAACTATAACTAAATTTTATTTAAAGATTTCTTTGTGATTATCAATTAAGTAGCCAACAAATTCCATATAAATGTTTAGCTTCCATCCTCAATATTTATGATACTCCTTAATAAAAGAAGGTATAATGTTTCATAACCAGATTTCCAGCCCAAGGTCTCCATGCCCAATACAGCACTTACCATGTACATTCTTAGATAAATTACATATAAGCATTTCATTTCCCTTTCGTCTACAAAATAAGGAGTTGATATTTTGGCTAGTCCTCTTGACCCTCATCATGAACTCCCTCCCCACCTCATAGAAATATACAGAGACAGACTCAAACTATACAGTATTGTTATTTGAACTGGTCAACGAGAAAGGACCAAGTCCTTAATAACTAAACAAGTACGTATCCAATAAATAAAGACTGCCAGTCTCAGTGGCACATGCCTGGAATCCCAGCAGCTCAGGAGGCTGAGGCAAGAGGATCACAAGGTCAAAGCCAGCCTCAGCAAGGCCCTATGCAACTTATCAAGACCTTGTTTCAAAACAAAAAAATAAAAAGGAATGGGGAAGTGGCTCAGAGGTTAAGCACCCCTGGGTTCCATTCCTTGTACAAAAACAAAGGAGAAAGAAATAAAGTTCTCTTTAAATGACATAATACCAAATCACAGATTTGTACCACAGCAAATTGTTAGAGAGAAATTGTTAAGCAATATTTTAAACAATCTGCTATATTTAGTTTCATGACTATAATGCTGTAACATTACAATAGCCTAAAAAGGGCATGAGTTATAAAATCCTTATCATATTGCCATTCATAAGTGTGCCTTATTAACTCTCAATGAAAACACTCAGATTCTAAAGACCTTCTGAATCCATAATTTTCCCCGACTTTAGCAACACCTTAAATAATTTCCCATGTAATAAATAGTAGTAATAGTTGAAATAGTAGCACTTTAAATCTACTCCTTATAGAAATGTATTCCTCAAATAAGATTTACTCATTTTTCTAAAGTTATAGTTGGTGTTAGAAAAATTTTGGAATATTTTATATTTCCTTGAACCATATATTTATACACTAACTTAGATTTCATGTCAATTTCAAGTCAACATTTGTTGAGTGACTACTGATCATGCCAACAGAAATAGCACGTAATCCCAGGTACTTACTTCTACTTCAGAGTCAAGCAAAGACCGAGAACTTAAGTCCAGCCCTTGCAGCTGGAGTCGTGCTACTTCAAGCTCAAGTGACAGGTGTTCCGTCTGCTTCTTTTCTGCTGCCAACTTGGACTCCATCTCCAAAGTCACACTTGTCAGCTTTTGCTGCCACTGTTCATTTTCTGACAAATACTGCTTCCTGAGACAATCGAGCTCTTTCCTTTCAGAACTTAATAACTGCTCAAGCTCTTGAATTTCTTTATTTTTCAGAATCCCTTCACTTTTGATTTTCTCTTCCAGATTCTTGAGGGATTCCAAGTACACCTGACAGAGGGTCTCAAGTTCTTCCACACTCTTCATGGGGGCAGTTGGGATTTCTTTCTTTGCCAGATTTTCCTCCAGACGGCTACAAGATACTTCATCTCTGTTAGACAAGTTTGCTGAAATACTCCCTTCTAAACTACTCAAGAGAGAAAGGTCTCCAGTCTGTTCTAAAACATCTTTGTAAAAAGAGGATTCTCCAAAACTTGTCAGGCTAGGGCTGTCTGTCATACAAGAGAAGGACAGTGACAGATTACGCCCCTCCTCAGGTTCTGGCTTCAAGTCCTTTACCAATTCACCTTGCAAGTTTCTCAGATTCACTGACAAAGCCGAATTTTCAGCCTTCAATGTATCAACATAGGACCGTAGCTCTGCCATCTTAGAGCTCATCTGACAGTGCTGATCATGTAAAATTTTGTGTTCACTTTGTAAAGATGAGAATTTCTCCTGTAATTCTGCAAAATGCATTTGAACTTCTTTATTTGACAAGGTCAAGCGCTCATAGGAATTACTGTCATCCAAAGGATTCAAGGACAATGACGTCTGCTCGTTTTGTTGCTCACCAAATTCACCATCTGACATTTCTTTCACTAACTCATCTTGAAGACCATTTTCATCATTTAATATTTTAACTTCACTTACTAGTTTCTCTACCTCTTCTGCCATTTTACTCGTTGTTGTGATACACTCTGATCTTGAATCATTAAGCTCAGATACCAGTTCCAGCTTTCCAGCCCGCAGTGCCTCACACATTTTCTCTAGCTCATTCAGCTTCTTCACTGCTGTCTGCAGAGAGCAATGAAGCTGTGCATTGTCATTCTGACTGGTTGACAATTCATGAAGCACCGAAAGGTACCTTTCTTCTGTATCTATTTCACAGTCTTTAAGGCCACTAATTTCCTGTGGCTGATCATCTTGCAAATTTCCAGTTCCTAATTTTCCTCTAATTGTCTGTAATTCCTGCTGCAAGCATTCTTTCTCCTTCTCACTTTGTTGAAGTTTCAATTCCATATTTTTCACCAAAGCTTCTAATTGTATAAACTGTGTAGTACAACTGCCTGGAGCAATGTCTTTAACTTCAAGATCCATGTGAAGCTGAAAATCACATTTATTTATCTCATTCTCCGTTTCTTTCACAGAGTCCCTAATTGTTTCCAAATCTGGATGCTGCTGTTCCAGCTCAGTCTTTGTCAGCTTCATCAGTTGCTCATTCTCTTGTAATAAGTCATTGACTTCCTTTTGCAGCTTATTTTGTTCTTCCTTTAGAGTCATGATTTCTTGCTTTAAACCATTAGCCTCATTCTGAGAATTGTTTTGGATGTCTGTAATCTCAGATCTCAGAGTTTGTTGTACTATCCCCAACTCTAGCATTAGTTTCTGGTTTCTTTCTTCAGCAAAAGCTAATTTTGTTAAGAATTCTTGATGTTCCTTTGCAAATGCTTCCTTTAGCTGTTCCAATTCAGTTTTTCTGTCTTCACAAATGCCAGTGCATTCCTTTAGTAAGCATTCTAATTCAGAGTTCTTTCCTTGCACTGCTTTGTATTTTTCATGAAGATCCTCCAATGCACTTCGGGTTTCTTCACATCTCTGTTGTAAAAGAAGTCTTTCTTGCTTATACTGATCAGATAACTCTGAAATGCTTTTCTCTCGTTCCTCTATACAGCTGGAAAAATTCTCATTTTTTTGGATTAAGTTCATTTTCTCTTGACTTAAGGTTTCATTAATTTCTTTGAGCACCCCATTCTCTTGGGTCAATTCTTCAATTTCTTTTTTGCTTAAAGAAATGATGGAACTCATATCCTTTTTCTCTGAGCTCAGGGTTTCAGATAAAAGTTGTAGCTCCTTTAGAGAGACTTCAAGTAGATGGTTGCTCTTTTTTAATTCTTGAATCTCTGCTTGCTCAGCTTCTAGTTGTTCTTTCAAAAGTTGCAACTCCTTTTCCTTGTTCTCCAGGGAAACTAAAGTTTCATTAACCACATTCTGATGAACGACAGTGTCTTCCTGTAACTTACTAATGCGATGACTCGTTTCAGCCAAGAAGCTTTGATGCATCTGTTCTGCTTTCATGAGATTTTCTTCTATTTCTCCTTTGACTTGCACCAACTCTTCACACTGCTTCTGCAGATCTGAGTTCATCTGCTTTTGAGACTGTAAGGAAAATTCAAGTGAAACAACTCTGTTTTGTAAGAGAGCTGAATGCTTTGGACTTTGGTCTGCACCTAAGTGGCATTTGTTTATTTCGGAAAGCATGGTTCCTTGTTCCCCTGTTAGATTTGCAAAGGAATTATTCACTGTAGGCTGCTGTTCAAAAACCAAACAACTTCTGTGATGATCCTCATTCGACACCAGATTAGAATCCTTGGATCTGAGGAGTTCCCTGAGGTTCTCATATTCAGCATGCAAGTTTTGGTAATGCTGGTCTTTGTCCATTATTTCACTTGACAGTAACTGAAGCTTGTATTCAAGATCTCCAACTTGCCCAGTAAGCTCTGAAGTTTTCAGACACATATTTTCTATTTCCTTCTTATGCTTCTGATCAGAGATCTCAGCTTTCTGCTCTAGTTCTACATAAGCTTTTTTCTGTGTCTCTATCTCCGTGGTCTTGCTATCTATCACATTGTGAAGGTTTCTGATCTCAACATTTAGGTTTTCTCGTTCCATCTCCAGGGTCTTTACTCTCTCATTGTATTCCTGACTTTTTATTTGCTGAGTCTTAAGACAGGTTTCCAAGTGATTGATTTTATTCTGCAAGCTTTCCTTTTCTGATTCCAACTGATTTAATAGTTTTTCATTTTCATTTTTCCAATGAGAAAACTGAGTTTTCTCTTCTTTCAGTTCTTCATACTCTTTCTTTTTTAACTCCAAAGCACTCAATAAAGCTTTGGATTCTTTCTCTATCTTGCTTAATTTATCAGTCAGTTGTTCAATGTGATGTTCCCTCTTCTTCAAAAGGTCTTGAGAACAGTCCCGTTGTTTTTCCAGATCGGCCAAGGCAAGCTTCAGTTTTTCTAAGGTCAAGGAGTTTTCCTGCTGATTAATTTTGTCTTGAAGATCTCTTAACATGGTTTCCTGAGAGGTATTCTTAGCTAGTTTAAAAAGAAAAAATTGTCAATGTTTTAATATTTATCTATTCTATAAGAATTCTAGCCAAGCATGGTGGCATACGCCCATAATCCCAGTGGCTCAGGAGGCTGAGGCAGAAAGTCACAAGTTCAAAGCCAGCCTCAGCAACTTAGTGAAGCCCTAACCACCTAGCAAGACCTGTCTCAAAAATTTTTTTAAAAGGGGGTGAGGGATCCTGGGGAGGTAGCTTGGTAGTTAAGTGGCCCTGGGTTCAATCCCTGGTACCAAAAAAAAAAAAAAAAAGAATTCTACCCTCTAGCCATGTACAGTGGTACACACCTGAAATCCCAGGAACTGTGGAGGCTGAGGCAGGAGGATTGTAATTTAAAGGCCAGCCTGGGCAACTTAGGGAGAACCTGTCTCAAAATAACATAGCAAGGGCTAGGAATATAGCTCAGTGGCAGGGTGCTTGCCTAGCATGCATAAAGCCCTGAGTTCAATCCCTAGTACTGACATTAAAAAAAAAAACAAAAAAAACAAAACAAATAAATAACTTCTTAAGCCTTGTAAAAATACTGAATGATAAAACATTATTGCTATATCCCTCTTGGAAAGCAGGTCACCTAATAATTATCTAAGTTTATATAAAGACAGTGAGGAAAGGGCTCATTTTAAGGATAGTATCACACTAAGTCATCTTTTAAGCAGCTTAATAACAGTGCTATATAAAATACCAAGAGGATATTTTCTTGAGCACTTCTTTACTTCTTTTTCTTTGTGTATATCTATATTTTCCCCATATTTTGATGTATTTATTCCAAGAAAACTAGGAGAATAGAACTAAAATTGAAATATCCTAAATCACACTGTGGTAATTCTGATGTCTCAAAAACTCACAACACCATTTTAGCTACAAGTTCATCACGCTACATATCAGTTAACTCTCAAGGCCTATAAGTAATCTTGGAGAACAATATCACCCACAGTTCAGCTTCTCACAGTAAGGATGACAAGAGGATATGAGAATCATCTGGAAGCTTTCATGACCTTGTTTTCTGCCCAATGCCTCACCTCTACCCACAGCCCCTCGCAGTGGGGGATAAACATAATGTGTTCATAGAACAGTGATGAGAAGGCTTCATATTCCTCAAGTATGTTGGGGGAGGAAAAAAGTTGAGAACCTCAACAGTACGACAGAGGCAGCATGTATTACACTCTCAGAAGCAATACTGAATGATAATCATACACATTTCTAACCTGCTAGTCTCAAATCTATCACTAGGCATTAATGGCTTGTGGAGCAATGATCCAAAATTTGCTCTATGTGGAAGGCCCTCCAATAATGACACTGGTAAACAACACTTAAAAGTGTCCTAACCGTTACACCCTGTTACAATTTTCCTTCAGGAAAGCTAAAAAACTGGCATTTTTGCCTACTGGAAAATGAAAGTCATCTTCAGCAGACTTAGTCCTAGCTCCTTATAAGGCTGAAGCAGGAGAATAACTTGAGCCCAGGAGTTCGAGACCAGCCTGGGCAACACAGGAAGACCCAATCGCATAAACAAACAAACACACAAATAGAATAGTCATGGGGACATTGACACATATTCATGGTCAGATTTCTTTGAGAAGAAATCCCAGACATGCAGACACCCCAGAGAAGAAAATATATATATATACTTTAAAAACATAGCACAGACAAAAAAGAAACAATTGATGGGTTCATTTGGTGTATATAGATAATTCCTTGACTTTAAAGTCAGGAAATAAAATCATTCAGTCAAAATTAAAAAAAAAAAAAAAATCATTCAGTCAAATAAGTTATTCAAATTGCAATGGTCAGGGCTGAGGTTGTAGCTCAGTGATACAGCACGTGCCTAGCATGTGCAAGGCGCTGGGTTCCATTCTCAGCACCACGTATAAATAAATAAATAAAAGGTCCATTGACAACTAAAAAAAGTAAATATTAAAAAAATTTTTTTAATTAAAAAAATGCAAATAGTCATTACAGGGTTTGGAAAACATACACTAAACATAGGGGTTTTTCCATTCTAAGGGAAATGGAGGTAATGGGCAAACACACTTTGGACAAAAAGAACAACACTGGGACGAGAGACGGCACTGACAATTGAGCTTCCTGTGGGAAATATTTACCATCTGGTTTCAAAGTGGTGAAAACCATGCATTCAAGGACTCAAAACATTCATTTTTTAAAGTACAACTATTCCTCTGGAAATTAAAAAGTGGAAGAGAGAATACTTTTCCCACATCATCTACAGTATCTTTTGGGGTGAATATATTATAAAATTCAGTTTCTTTAATATGTTAAAGTCATCCATCCTCCTTCACTGGGGTAATAACTTAGAGAACTAACTAAAATACTAAGTTTACTCACCTCTCATTTCTTCTGCAAAATTCTGGCTCTGATTTAAACTCGCTTTGACTTTCCTGAGTTCTTCCTCCAGGTGGCAGACTTCTCTGGCCCTTTGCTCAGACTGACTCTTAAGGAGGCCATTTTCCTTTTTCATTTCCTAAAATACACATTAAGTTGATTACAATCAAAACAAATGCTCAAACAAGTCATGACTTCTGCCTTCATAAGGGTCCTTAGCAGAAGTGTTTGTATATCTCTCCCTTCAAGTACCTCATGAAGATAGACATTCTTCCTTGAATCAAATGTCATGAATTGAAATCAAAGCCAAACAGATGATAATCTTTTTCCTTCAAAAAAAAAAAAAAATGTATCTCTTTGCACTGTCTTGTTGTGCTTATACCTGCTAAAGAGTTAGCTTACATGGAAAAATCTGTTTACAAGATCCTCAAGGACAAAAGTTCCAAGTTCTTATCAAATATATCTTTGCAAAGAGTTGATGCATTCCTAAAACAAATTATTCACATGATAAATTTTTACTTTTCATTATAAAACCATCTAAAGGTTTATTGTTGGGGAATGTATTTATGAGTAAAATTACCTTCAAGAAACATTTTCATCAAGAAAATATACAATGTTCAAGATGCTGGGATGTAATTATGAGAAGAACAAATATAAATAATAATAATAATCACTGAATACCCACCAGAACGTGCCAAATACCAAAGAGACATTGAGTGTGGGTGAAAAAGCAAAGGTTGGGGAGTAGACGAATAATTAATTCCATATAGGAGAATTTGAGCTCTCACAATGAAAACAGATTCATTGGCTGTTTGATTAAATAAGTACCCATGCATCTGTGTGCAATAAGGTAGCAGAGATGCATACATATACAGTTCCAACCCATTATCTCGGGAGACCTCTGATCTTAAAAACTAAGCAATATTTACATGCCAAATGAAAGCATGATTACTCCTTAACCACATAGGACTCATATAATAAACATTATGAATACTCTATACCTACTTGAAACTTATCATAGTTTTTTGTGCTGATAAGTATCTCAACCTATATTATGTACCACACTCTGGACCACATGGAATTAGCAGATATCATTATAAACTGACAGAACCAAGTGCCTCACATCTTTTGAGTGAGGAAAAAGGCTAATGTTTTAAAAAAAAACTGCCTTTCAAAAATACCTTTCTTGAGAAGCAGAGGGAAATTTCTGAATCTTAAAGAAACAATTAAGACCCATCCTCCAAAATCCTACAGCACCGTTTGAAAACAGATGGCCCTGGCAAAGCTGTGTTGGAAGACTGCCTTCAATTATCAGTCTGGTTACTACCAGCAGATGGGTACTGATGCAACAAAGCCAAATTCAAGAAGAGGGAGAATCTGGCTAGTAGAAAGTACTTGAAAACTTGCTGGCAGCTGCTCTGTTCATGTATATACATTCATTTCTTCATTAAAATGAGACAGAACCTGTTATCAGTATTATACTCCTGTCTCCCACATCCTATTCCTGCCTTTCTTCCATGGCAAAACTCTCACTCTGTCAAATTAAGATATCAATCAGAACTAAAGGGCTGATTGTCCAGTGAACTCTAGACAGAGGCTAACTCACACCAGTCAGTGTTAAATTTTGCAAAGAAAGATCATGAAGGTGAAATAATGTTATTGATTTAAGTTAGCATCATTAAACCACAGAAAATGTAATCCCTTGTTCGTTCTTCAGGCTCAGTAAAATCTCCCAGTCAATGAGATCACAGATGGAAGTGCTCTGACAAGTGTAATGGAGCTTTATTATTATTTTTTTCTTTCCAAAGTTTAATTTGCAAGATCATGATCAATAGCAAATAAGGTCAACTTTAAGACTAACTAGAACATAACTACCTGGGTTGACTTACCACTTTTATTTTACAGCCTAGAAAATATTCTTACCCTAAAAAATTAATCAAATCAAATCACATCTAATCTTTGGGGGACTGACAAAGCTGAGAAGACATCCCAACAGGAAGAAAGGTAAGAAAAAGGAGAAAAGGGAGGGAAGAGACCAGCAAGGCAAGGGGTAATTTATGGTATGTGTCTGTTGATCTCCATTCTTCTCTGTCCATAACTGGAGACATTTAAGTGAATAGTAAGCTCAATGGAAAGATTTAGAGTGTCTTTCTCTATTCTGGCACTAGTTTCGTAAATATTTGTTTCTAATGAAAAAATGTTCAGCCAACCCTGGGACTCAGCAGGCTTATAATGCCACAGCTATGACCAACCCAAGAATTTTAAAAGGCCAGAATTTAGAAAACGAACATCTGAAAATGGATGTACAGGCTGCCATCCATCAGCAATTAGTTTTCTGCGAGGCTACAGCCACTTAAGACTTGATTGGGTAGCTCATTACCAACAATGAGCTAAGCGTACAAGGATATATTCTCCTAGGCACCTTGTGCATCCTCACATGATTGCAAAATTGGGCACTACTCAGGAAAAACACGACAAAAATCCCTATAAGCAGGAGCCAGCATTAGAGCTTAGCAAGCAATTCCACCCAGATCAACTTTGGTTTAGGAGCAGCAAGGGAAGCATCACTTCCTAGGGCCAGACAAAACAAATTTCAGCTAGTGTGCGGTGTTTCATGATCCCATCCCTGAATATAGCTTAATATGTCCCCTGCCAGGGTGAAGTCTCTATGTGACTATGAAATGAAAGCAGAAGATGCGCTTTTCCCCTTCCACCTCATCATTCTTGCCTGCCAGACTGAGCTCCTTAGAGTATCTAGTATAATACAGATCCCTATGTTTGGAAAGGTCCCCAAGCAAGTGTTCCCTCATCTTGCCTGTCAAATGATGGGATTTTATTGCCAAACCCCAATGCAATGGGGGCTGGCACTGGGTTCCAGATAAGCAGTCCATCTAAACGCTCCACTCACTTTGATACTAAATGTTAACTTTACCCTTGGTTGGGCCATTAAATCACGTTTCCAGCACTGATAATTTCTCATTGTGAGCAGCATATTAGTTTACTAAACACGAACAAGGAAAATTTCAGTACAACTGTCACATTGTTTCAGCATCCAAAACCTATAAGCGTTTGCTAAACTTGTTTGTACTTACTTATAATTAGATATGGAAAGACACCCAGAGTGGTAGTATAATAGAACAGGCAAATTTTTAAATATGAAAAATCTCAAATGCACTGTCCCCTGGTCATGACCTTCTGTGCCTATAGGTGACAGCAAACAGTGTTAACATCAAAATGGCCCTAATAGATGTGAAGGCCAAAGCAATGAGCAGGTGGGTTACAATAATTTACTGAGCATTTTTGTGCTGGGCATGGAGCCAAGGATTTTATGTACAATATTTAATTTAATCATGAATATAGCCTTGAAAAGTGAAAGGTATTATTTGTCCCTCAGAAAAGCTAAGTCACCAACTCAAGGTTACAGAGAAGGTAAGTGGCAGAAAAGCAATGCAAATTCAGACCTCGCTCCCTCCAAAGACACCACCATTTATACCCCCAGTCCTACCACCACTTCTCTTTTTTTCTTTTTTGCAGTACCGAGGATTAAGCCTATGGATGCTCTACAACTGAACTATATCCCCAGTCTTTTTTGAGACAGGGGCTCGATAAATTGCCCAGACTGGCCTCCAACATGCAATCCTCCTGCATCAGCCTTGCTAGTCACTTGGACTATAGGTGTGCACTACTGCAACCAGCATCATACCATCACTCTTACTGATAAGTCACTTATCTGATCCCAATCCCAATTCAAAGGACAAGTGCCAGCTGACCCCTGTCAATTCATGATATTATTTTTGAAAGACACATGTGATCATATACATCAATTAAGAAAAACACTAAATTCATTCCCAGGTCCTGTGCTAGGTACTTTCCACACATGACTGACTACCCTTATGTGACAGAAATCAGTGAAATATTAGTGAAACATGATATGCATGTAACTGAGGATAGGGGGAGTTCATTGGAGACAGCTCTACAAATGACAGCCAGACCCTGCAAAGATGCACAAGTCTTCAGAAACACCTGCATGACGACATCCAGCCCAGTACTATGACTCAGCCTCGCATGCCACTTGAAAAGTGTTTGGACTCTCTTGACCAGAAGATTGCTTTTACAAAATGTTTCCTCCGGGAAGCCAGAGGAGTCGCAGAAGAGTTTCTGGCTGAAAGAGAAGCTCACAGAGGGAAGAGTCGATGCCAGTCTGCCTGTGGAAATGTTAGCAGAAGCATCTGTTGGTTGCTCCCCACTGGCCAAAAGGCAAACATTTGTTTTGTTGCAACAAACACTTCCATTTGAAAAACCATCACTGGATGTGAAGTTCCTTCTTCTCGGGTTGCAGGAGGGAGGCCCACCTTTCCAGCAGTGCTCCCCCTTCATAGCTACCTGCTGAAATAACCACTTCTTCACCATGACAGATGTTCTGATTTCACAACTGTGACACACTCTGCAAAGCCCTGGAGGAAAGTACACTTAGATTTTCATCACCTGTATAAGGAACTATGCTTTATAGAGAATTTTTTTCTTTAATCTTTATAATCTAAATACTGATCACAGAACATTTAAATAAGCAGGAAAATATTCTTTCCTATTATGTCCCAGGGGAAAGAAACCTCCACTGAAGTTACAATACTGATTCTATTTTGCTGCTCCTCCTTCTGAAGTTACAATACTGATTCTATTCAAATTGTTTCAGTCTATTGCCTGTTTAAAGCCCTTTAAATAAAGTCTAGGACACTAAATAAATTCAGAAAGAAACCATGTATGCATGAACAAAATCTTATCAGTAGAAACACTGGGGTACTCCTGGCATCCACACCACCACCTAGAGACCCTTATCCACCATTCTGTAGGATAAACAGGAATCTCCAAAAACAATGTTTACCAGTGTTTGCACATGCTGAACACCAAGATTGGTGTTTAGTTTTGAAGACAGAGTAATAAAATACAATTGATAATGATTTTTTTTTTTTTTTTTTTTGGTGGTGGTACTGTGTATCAAACCCAAGGCCTCACATATGTTAGGCAAGTGCTCAGCCACTGCACTACACCTCCAGCTTCTCGATTTTTTATAAGAATTTTAAATCTATACACTGTCATTACTTTTCTTCTTTATTTAAATATATGACTTTCTACAGGTTTTTAATATTACCTAACTCAAAAGCCAACCCTTAGTGAAGGGATTTAATCAATAGCTTACGACAACAGTACTGTTTCTTTCCATTCAGAAAATCCACTCCTTTCTTTTCTTTCTTCTACCTCCCAGGTGGAATGATTCTAAAAAACAACTGAGTCTATGTTCTCAATACAAATCATATTTTCTTATAAATGCTAGATGCATGCAAGTAATGCAAAGTAAAAAACACATATTCTATGTCATAGTTATATAATAGAACAGTTGTAATACTTACTTCTGGCAAATAAGGAAAAATATATACACTTATGATAAACTACTGACAGATGAACAGAAATTCTTCTAATCCTCGTACCTCATCCTGCACAGCAGTTGAGAAATACTCAGCTCTGCCCCTACTTACCTCACTGCTTCTCCTCAGCTCATCCTCCTTGATCTGACTCGCCTGGATAGCCTGCTCCATTTTGCTGACCCTCTGCTTAAACTCTTCCAAATTCTTTTCTAATTGTTGCTTTACAGATGTGACCTACAATGGGGAGGAAAAAGAAAAAGCATTATTTTTATGTTTTTTATTTGTAAATAATCATTCATTCTTTTTTTTATTTCTTACATACATGACAATAGTGGAGTGCATTACATTCATAATTATCCATTCACAGCACAATTTTTCGTAACTCTGTATATAAAGTATGTTCATGCCAAATTATGCATGAATTTTTTTTTTTTTGCATACAATTCTTAATACACCTTTATACCACCATTAATCATCTCTGTTTGTATATAAGGTATGTTGAGACCAAATTCACATCTTCATACATGTATTTTGTATAATGATGACCGTCTCCTTATACCGTCCTAGCTATTCCCCATCTCCCTTCCTTTCCCTCCCACCCCTATTCCCTATCTAGAGGTAATTTTCCTCCCTAGCTCTTTTTTTTTTAACATGAGCTCTATTATTATTATTATTATTATTATTATTATTATTATTATTTGCATTACAATTCTTAATACACCTTTATACCACAATTTCATTCTTAAATAAAAAAAAGTTCAAGCCAGGAGCAGTGGCTCACACCTGTATTCCCGCAGCCCTGGAGGTGGAGGCAGGAGAATGGTGAGTTCAAAGCCAGCCTCAGCAAAAGCAAGTCACTAAACAACTCAGTAAGAGCTGTCTGTCTCTAAACAAAATACAAAATATGGATGGGGATGTGGTTCAGTGAGTTCAATCCCAAGTACCCCCACAATAAATAAAATAAGTTCAAGGTACTTTGCATTAGGCAGAAGGGAGTACATATGATTACACTGCCAGTGTGATTTCTACATCATGTAAAACCAGAAAAATGTATGATGCATCAAAATGCATTCTACTGTCATGGACAACTAATTAGAATAAAGTTTAAAAAAAATCACTTGGCAAAGTAAGTAATGATACAGCTATTTGCTCAAGTTCCATATAACCAATGTTACAATTCAGATAGATCCACAGTCCTGATATGAAATATGACCAAGACATATTAATTGAAAAAATAAGATGGAGCACAAATCATGCCCTATGCCTTTATTTGTATTTTCAAGAAGTAGAATTGGAGGCTGGGATTGTGGCAGAGAGAGAGAGTGCTCACCTCGCATACGTGAGGCACTGAGTTCAATCCAGCCCCACATAAAAATAAAGATATTGTGTCTACCTATAACTAAAAAAAAAAAAAAAAAAAAAGCAGAATTGTACCCATATATACGTAGAAAAATTCTGGAAGAATACTATTTGTCTACTTTACCATTATAATATGTAATTTTTATAATTAAAAAACATCCATTATTCTCATTAAAAAAAAAAAACTTCAAGGAACCTAAGAATTGACGCTAACTATTCTGGTGGAAACCAAATATATGTCACAACTAAATGCTAAATTAAAACACCGTTATGAGAGCCTCTGACATCATTTGGTGGGCAATATATAGAAAAAAGAGGTAAAGTTTGGAGAACTCAGAGAAAACAGGAAAAAAGTAAAGATAAGAAAAGGACTGGAATACCATACACTCATTGACCTTTGTTGTTAGCAAGGGTACCTAAATCTCAGAAGCTGTGAATCCCTCACATTAGAACATGGTAGTATTTGCCTATGCACATACTCCCATACACTTTAAATCATCTTTCAATTGCTTATAGTGCCAAATACAAACTAAATGGTACGTAAATAGGTGTTAAACTATATTATTCAAGGAATAACAAGGATAAAAGTACGTATGGTTCAGTACATCACAGGATTAACTATATAGTATGTGAAACATATGCAAGGCAAGCAACCCTCAAATAATGAGTGCTGCAGAAACAGGACTTGTGATGTGGTAGAGGCTACAGCAGGACGCATCTACACACCACCTCATTCGTGTGGATTCAGGATAGCACTTGATGCACAGCAAATTCATGTTTTACTGTTTGAAATGTTCTGGAATTTTGTTTTCTAAGAATATTTTTGAGCCGGGCATGGTGACACATATCTATAATCTCAGCTACTTGGGCAGCTTGAAGAAGAAGGATCACAAGTTCAAGGCCAATCTCAACAACTTAGGGAGCACCTGTTTCCAAATTTTTTTGAAATTAAAAGTAAAAAGGGTTAGGGATATAACTCAGTGGTAAAGTGTACTGGGTTCAAACACCAGTGCCACAAAAAAAAAAATATTTTATATTTTTGATATTTAAGTCCACAGATATGGAATCTGCAGAGATGGATGATGACCTAGGCCAGGCTACAGCACCAGATGGGACAGAAAGTAGTCATATTCAATATACAGTATAAAGATAGACATAAAAAGTCAGGTTTATGCTTAAAAGGGAGATAGAGACACATGTAAGTTTTGTAGGGTGGCTCACAAGATTCTAGCTTCTGACATAGGTAACCTTTATAAGAGATCATTTCATATAATAATTTATTGAGTTTCACATTCATTCTATGCAGCTTTTGTATCTTTTACACCAAAAGTTTAAATATACTATTATATTATTCACGTACAAATATACACATAAATCCACATACACAGATATGCACAAGTCTGTGTGTGTGTGTGTGTGTGTGTGTGTGTGTGAGAGAGAGAGAGAGAGAGAGAGAGAGAGAGAGAGAGAGAGAGAGCACACACAAATAAGAATCAAGTCAGCAGTTTTAACAGAAATGGTTCAGGTGTGAAAGAAAAAGAATTGAAGATGACATGGATTTCAATTTCTAATATGCCTGAGCAATGTGGAGAAAGGAATGGCTCTTTATTAGGATGGGGAAGACTAAGGAAGAAGCAAGTTTAAAAAAAAAACTGTTATGAACACATTAATCACGAGATGCCTGTCAACTGCCAGGTGGAACATCAAGCACATACTACAAATCTAAAGTTCAGAGGAGACCTCCAAACCAGGGACATAAAGTTATAAACCTAGGTGAGCTCACATTTGGAGTGAGTTTCAAATAAGACAATTGGTTTTACTCTCCGGTGCATTAGCTATCAGAGAGCATAAATTACTTGGGACAGTTCCCATCTGTTCACATGATCCAGAACAAGCAGAATCTCAGAAACCTCTACTGACCTTCAGATCTGAAATCCTAATTCTACATCCTGCTTTCTCTGGATGAGAAAATGGACATCAGAAAGGATCTGTTCACTCTCCACTTTGATGAGTAAAAAAAGTGAAGATAGAACATTTTTGCTTTAAAAGAATCTTCACTCACACATGGAATATGACACAGTTGCTCTCACAAATTGAGAGTAAAGCTGTGGTTACCAGAGGCTGGGAAGAGCAGAGGAAGGGAAAGGAGAACGGGGAGAGGTTGATCAGTGCGTGATAAGTGACAGAAGATCAAAGAAGTACTGATGTGCTATTGCACAGTAGGGTGACTATGATGACAATAATGCACTATATATTTCAAAAAATTAAAAGGATTTTGCAAGTTTTCACCATATAGAAATGATAAATGAGATAAGGATGTCTACCTTGATTTAAACAATATGCAATGTACACATGTATCAAACATGCATAGTACCCCATTCATATGTACAACTTTTATGTTTTCAGATACTGATTTTAAAAATATTTTATGTTGCCAGACACAATGGTGCACACCTGTAATCTCAGTGGCTCAGGAGGCTGAGGCAGGAGGATCACAAGTTCAAAGTCAGCCTCAGCAAAATCAAGTTGCTAAGCAACTCAGTGAGACTCTGTCTCTAAATAAAATACAAAATAGGGATGGGGAAATGGCTCAGTTGTTGAGTGCCCTGGGTTCAATCCCCAGTTACCCCTTCTCCCCAAAATAAAAACATCTTATGTCAACTGTGGCTGAGAAGTAACATGCATAAGGAAAAGAGGGAGAGAGAAATAAGTTCGTGTCCTACTTTATCCAGTTCAGCCTGTAGGATATTAAGAGTATTCTTGGCTTGCTGTAACTCTTGGGTAAGCCTGGCTTTCATCTGAGTGCACTCTTGGTCCAGGGTTTGGAAAGAACGATGCTGACGGGAAAGTTCCTGAAAAGCAAAGGATACATGCATCAAACTGACAATGATTGACAAGGAAGATTCCAAGATGAGGCACAAACATCCCGTCAGTTAATGCTACATAGAAAGAGCACAAGACAACAGGGAGCCAAACCAACGATCCACTGACTGACAAGTTCAATCAGCCTAAGCAGTGGACCCCACAATCAGATCCAGGTCTCTGAAAGGAAGGCAAAGGAGTCTAAAAGTTGACCATGTGGTAACCAGCCCAGCAGACTCCCACCTCATCCCTCATTTTAAATTAACCATCTCTATTTGGGTGAATCAGGCAGGTGAGAAGAGCTGAACTGCAAAGATCACAACTCAGACAAGCAATCAAACACTCAAGACGGGTTAAATAATCAAAAACCAAAGTTATACCACTTATAATGTTCTTAAATTTTAAAAGATAGAAAATAAAGGACACAATTAACTCTGATAACCATAGGATACCAGCTAACATTCCCAGTCACTCTTACTAAAAGACTAGATTCTCAAGCTAAATCGCCTGAAAGGACCAAACTGGCAGCAATACCTATCAGCCCACCTTCTGCCCTAACTCCTCCGACTTCTCTCCCTGTGCATTAACTACCTTCCTAGTTCATTTGCCATCCCACAGGCTTAACAGACTGGAGAATCTTATGTAATTCTCTTCACTGCAAATAAAGTGTTTGAAAGAAGCAACAGAACTTGTTCCTAGTCAGTATCTCAAGCACCTCGGAAAACATGAATAAAAAAGAAAACTCTGGACTACTAATCCTCTCTCTCCAATCAAAACCAGAAACATGAGAGAAATAAGTGACCTGTTGTCCACAAAGCATTTCCCTCTAATGATTTCCCAAATTATGACAAACTGCTTCTCTTTCCAAGTAATCAAACTTCTCAAGAACACAGACTCCACAAGAGCCTTTCAGACACACTCTTTGTGAACCCATTTGCCTTACCTCTTGAAGCTCCTTTTCTTTCTCCTTGATTTTCTGTTCCAGAGAACACCTGGCACTTTCTGCATTTTGTCGCTGACAACTCAAATCTTCAGTCAATTTTTTCAACTTTTGTTCCAATGCAGTACACTAACAGATAAAAATGTTTGACACCAAAGAAAAGTTATTCAAGGAAAGAAGCAAATATTTTGTTTTTTAGAAAAAAATCTTAGCCCCAAAATCTGTTTTAAGTTTACCATTGTTTTGATCTTTTTATTTCATAAAAAGTTGGGTTTGAACCTATCAGCCAAATACAAAAACCACTATATCTCAGCACATATAAAATCTATATTTGGAAATATTAGCAAGTATGTAAGAATTAACCCATTTAAATAAATAACTTCATAGTCCATGCTATGAAAACTGAGACAGGATGTCTAATGATTCATCTAACATACTGCTGCTGGGAAGGAGAGGTTAAAAGGTAATGGTGTTGACCCAGTAATTAAAGGGTGCCCATTACCTTTCTCTGATAGTCTCTTTCAAGCATAATGGATCTTGCAGGAAATTTTAAATATTAAAATCCTTCTTTCCACAATGTGGCTCCCACTATGCCACTTTACATTTCTGAGGGTTCACAGGGCTCAAGAATATCACAACTAGGTTTTTTGTTTGTTTGTTTAATTCCTTTTTTTTTTTTTTTTTAGTTATAGGTGGACACAATGTTATAGGCGGACACAATGTCTTTATTTTACTTTATCTGGTGATGAAAGTCGAAACTAGTGCCTCATACATGCTAGGTAAGCACTCTACCTCTGAGCCATAACCCCAGCCCCACAACTTGTTTTTAATCAAACTGCTATAAGCAACACAAAGAACATTCTACTGCCTTCCTAATACCTAGTTATCCATAAAGTAAATTCGAAAATGTGAACTACATGAAAATTTAGAATGCTCTCCTAAAAACAGGTTGGAACAAAAGAGTCGTAATTCTTTAAGTGGTGAAATCCATTCCTCTGTATCATCCCCTTGTACTCAAATCCTTAAACTTTCCCCTAAAACCACTATAAGGACCCAGGGGATAATAAGAAAACTTTGTCTTGGTGGAAAGGAACTCTTCACTCCAAAAGAAATGTGTCCCAAATTGGCAAATCTCTCTATGATTTTTTTCTCTAAGACTCTTCATAGTCTAATTTATAGCTATTAGAAATATTAGAAATTTAACTGGGAATTCAGAGAAAAAGAAAACACTATATAACACTTTGCTGGAAGACCAGTCAGACACCAATTATTAAGTAACCAGAGATAAAAAGTGTAGAGTTGGTCAATAATGACTAAATGATTTTGGAAATATCAGAACTTTAAAAATATCAAATTTAAACAGCAAAATTTTGAGCCAGTGGTTCAAACCAGTCCACTACATTGAACATTATGACACTTTTGTCATTATTTTTATATCATCCTTGAGTTTTTAAATGCCCAAGAAAGAGTATTACAGAGATTACAACAATACTTGGGTTATGAACTTTAGGTTATGAACTGTTGTAGGCACTGAAGATATAACAGTAAATAACTCAGACACAAATCACTGCCCAGATGATGGCCTAAAATTTGGATGATTGACAATTCTCAGGGAAAAAAGAAAAAAAAAAAAAAAAAAATATACAAAACCTACATGTACTACTAATGAACCCTTGGTGCCCTCTACTGGCATTCCCTCAAACTGCAACAGATTCCACTACTCCCATCTCAGAATCAACAATCCTTTCCTATTAAGACATTGCAGGTTTAAAAAGACCCTTTACAAGGTATTTATATTTTATATAAACCTTTCTAAATGGTATTTTAGTATCAATAATGCACAATCCATGTAAAAATAGTTAATCAGTAGGTGTCATAAATGCTCCATGGTGTTCTAAAATAAGTGTCCAGAGCTCAAGTCCTTTGAAAGTATGTAGCATGTGACCCTGTACACTTCTTTAAGATTTCTGTATATATTTTTTAAAACTCCCAAGAATCAATAAATGGAATGGATTCAAACTAAAAAGCTTCTTCTCAGCAAAAGTAACAATCAGTGAGGTGAGGAGAGAACCTATATTTGGAACAAATTTTTACCACAAGCACATCAGATAGAGCACTAATCTATAGGATATATAAAGAACTCAAAAATCTTAACACCAAAAAAAAACCAAATAACCCGTTCAATAATTGGGCCAAGGAACTGAACAAACACCTTTCAGAAGATGATATACAATCAATCAACAAATATATGAAAAAATGTTCAACATCTCTAGCAATTAGAGAAATGCAAATAAAAACCACTCTAAGATTTCTCACTCCAGAATACAAACAACAATAAGTGTTGACGAGGATGTGGGGGAAAAGGCACACAGTGACACAGCCACATCAATGTTTATAGCAGCACAATTCACAATAGCTAAATTGTGGAACCAACCTAGATGCCCTTCAATAGATAAATGAATAAAGAAACTGTGGTATGTATACACAATGGGATATTACTCAGCATTAAAAGAGAATAAAATCATGGCATTTGCAGGTAAATGGATGGAATTGGAGAATGTCATCCTAAGTGAAGTAAGCCAATCCTAAAAAAACAAAAACCAAATGTTTTATCTGATATGTGGATGCTGGTCTATAATGGAGGTGGGAGGGGAGCATGGGAGGAATGGAGGAACTTTAGATAGGGCAAAGGAGAGGAGGGATAGAGAGGGGGTATGAGGGTAGGATAGATGGTAGAATGAGACGGACCTCATTACCCTAAGTACATGTACGAAGACACAAATGGCATGACTCTACTTTTTTGCACAACCAGAGACATGAAAATTTGTGCTCTATATGTATACTATAAATTGAAATGCATTCTGCTGTCATGTATAACAAATTAGAATAAATAAATTTAAAAATATATTTATATGAGTACTGAATTCCAAGTCTGCAGCCACCACCCCCCAACACTCTTTTCTCATGAATTTAAGCCTTGTACCCCACAAAGTCTACAAATACTTGGGGGAAAAAACATATTATAAAATAGCTAACATTCACTTAAGAATACAGTATTAGAATCCAGGCATGGTGACACATACCTGTAATCCTAGCGGCTCATGAGGCTGAAACAGGAGGATTGAGAGTTCAAAGTCAGCCTCAGCTATGGTGAGGCACTAAGCAACTCATTGAGACCCTGTCTCTAAATAAAATCCAAAATCGGGCTGGGGATATGGCTAGGTGATCGAGTGCCCCTGAGTTCAATCCCCAGTACCCAAAAAAAAAAAAAAGAAAGAAAACAGTATTACATTAGCTCTATTTAATAAGTAGTTGTAATGTCTAGGCCAGAAAAACAACTTCAGCAAAACATTTCGCAAACTGGATTTTCAGTTAAGGTGAATTTGTAGCTAGTTGGGAGAAAAAAGGAATCCAGAAAGCATTAAACAAATGAGTGTTTGGAACCTGGAAGGAACACTAATAGAAAGAAAGCTAGATTTATGTTCTCAGCACTGGTCTACTCAAAACAAATTTAACTCAAGATCTGTTAAGAAAAAAATTTCATCAGATATGTTAGAGCAAGGATTTGGTGATTTTTTTATCTCAACAAAACTAACAAGATAAAATGTAAAAGAATAATGGTAATTCTTACATACAAGAAGTCCTGGCCAAGCAGGAATTCAATTATCTTAATTGAATAAGAACTCAACAATTAAGCTCTGATAATAATAACAACTAATGTCATTACATGTTCACCGTGTACCAGGTACTAAAGCCTTTACAAAAATTATCTCAATCTTTACACTGACCTTCGGCCCAGCTATCATCATTAACACCACTTTATTGATTAGTTGACTGTTCAGAAGTTAATTAAACAGTTCCAAAAGCAACACAATTAGAATGTAGCAGGGCCAGAGCTCAAATCCAACTCCTTCTATCTTGAAAGACCAAATTCCTATTACACACTCTGTGTCAACAGAATAAATGCACAGATCCAGAGAGGCCACGTCCCACTAAGGCTCCACTGCTCCTTCACACATCTAGTCAATGCTCCTCAAGACGTCCCTGCATAAAGTACTGCATGAGGAGAATGTGGAAAAACAGCTTCTACTTCCAGAAAGATGGAATAAACACACTTTTCCCTATTAATCCCAATAAGAACAAATAAAAACTCTGGACAGTAAGATGGACATAAGAAAGAGTGGAGAGACAGTGGCAGACTGATGAGGGAGCTCGGGACCCCAGAAAAAAACACCCTACCACTGACAACCCAAAATCTCAATGCAGCAGAAATACCCTTTAGGAATGAAGATGAAAACAATATATCCTCAAGTGAAGGAAAATTGAAAGAATGTGTGGCCAACAGACCTACTTTAAAAGAATGAGTACAGGAAGTTCTCTAAACTGAGAAGAAAGGATGAAAGAAGGATCCCTGGGAGGCATCTAGAAAGAAAGAACAAGTTAAGCAACAATATAAACATATGTAACCAACTCCTTCTGTTCTTTATATATATATATATATATATATTTTTTTTTTTTTTTTTTTTTTAGTTGTCAAAGGACCTTTATTTTACTTATTTATATGTGATACTGATAATCGAACCCAGTGCCAAACACATGCTAGGCAAGTGCTCTACCACTGAGCTACAAACCCAGGCCTCCTTGTGTTCTTGAGCTTTTTAAAATAAGTTCAACAATTGATACCAAAATTACAAGTCAATATAGTACCAAATATACCCATAGAAACTAAGATTATTTTATAAATGGGGAAGGATATAAAAGCATGAAAAGGAAGATAAATGTTTTATAATTTATTAGAACTGGTAAAACAAAGTCATCAACAGAATGTGATAAATTATGTGTATATAATAAAACATCCAGTAAAATCATTATAGAAGTTAACTCAGAAAGTTAAGGGTCTTATGTTTTCTGTCGTATGTGGAAGCTAGAGAGGAAGAGAAAAACAAAGGTTAGGGTAGATCTCATGAAAATCAAAGAGATGCGAAGAGGAAAGGGACCAAGGGATGGGGAGCAGGAGGAGTACTGAGGAATGATACTGGTCAACTTATATTGTTATATTGTGTATCACGTGTATGTAGGAACATGTAACAACAAATCCCATCAGTATGAATAACTATAATGGACCAATAAAAAATGTGGGGTGGGGGGGCCATAGTGAAGAGTGCATTAAAAAATATCACTCAACTATATACATTCTACATGAAACTCACTTCAAATTAACAATGTAGGCATATCAAAAGTCAAAAGACAAGAATACATAAATTTGACAACTTAGAGAAATACACAAACTATTCCAATTCTCCCAGTATGAAATAGGTAACTTTAATAGTTTGGTAATTGCTAAAGAAATGGAATTTATCATTCTAAAACTCCCCAGAAGAAATCTCCAGGCCCAAATAAATTCACTAGAGAATTCTCTCAAATGCATAAAGAAGAAAATATACCAATTGTATTCAATCTTTCAGTAATTGAAGAAGAGGGAAGACTTTCTTATTCATTTTATAAAACTAGAATTACCTTGATACAAATGTCAGACCAAGATGGTAGAAAAAAAAGAACAAACCAATATCCCTCATGAAAGTATGCACAAAAATCTTAACTAGTTTTTAGCAAATAAAATTCAGAAATATATAAAGAATTATATAACAAAACCAACTATAAATAAAACCAAGTGGGGTTTATTCCCAAAATGTAAGACTCATTCAAATATGTAGAATTCAGTGTAATCTGCTACCTTAACAATTTATTATTTTATTCAACTGCAACAATCTATAATTATCTCAAAACAAAAAAAATAATTATTATTATTTAATTAAAGGAAGAAAGGAAGGAAGGATAGACAGACCTATCCAAAGAAAGCAAAAAGGGGATGCCAGAGAAAATATCTTACGAGGAAAGGAGCTCACAAGAATAAGAAACACATTAAAAATCCAGAGTTAGACCAGGCTGGGTGCTGTGGTGCATGCCTGTAATCCCAGCAGTCTGGGAGGCTGAGATAGTAAAATCCTGAGTTCAAAGACAGCCTCAGCAACAGCAAGGCCCTAAGCAACTCAGTGAGACCCTGTCTCTAAATAAAATACAAAATAAGGCTGGGAATGTAGCTCAGTGGCTGAGAAACCTGAGTTCAATGCCAGGTACCCAAAAAAAAAGTTAGTCCAAGACAGCAGGCTACTCCAAGCAGACAGGAAGATAAAAGCAAACAATGGGCCCAGAGGAAGATTAGGTTCAGGAGACTTCAAATCATTATTGTTAGTCTTAGGATGTAATTCATTTTCCTCCATAATACTTGTTACCACATACTATATTATCTGTTTACTTATTTGTTTTTGTTATTTTCTGCCTCCCTCCGTTACGATGAAGCTCCATAAGGCAAGGATATTTGTCTATTACCACTGTATCCCCAGGTCTAGAACAGTGCCTAATATATTGTAGGCACTCAATAAATAAATGAGTGAATGAACAAATGAGTAATAGAAAAAGGAGACAACTGGTAAAGTAGATCCAGGCCAAAGCAAAAATAAATTATCAAAGAAATAGGAAGGCTAGTCTTAAGATTCAATGGCAAGGGACTGGGGTTGTGGCTCAGTGGCAGAGCACTTGCCTCGCACATGTGAGGCGCTGGGTTTGATCCTCAGCACCATATAAAAAATAAACAAGTGTGACACTACTTTGTGTACAACCAGAGATATGAAAAATTGTGCTCTCTATGTGTAATACAAATTGTAATGTACTGTCACATATAACAAATTAAAATAAATAAATAAACAAAATATAGTTATTGTGTTCATCTACAACTAAAAACTATTAAAAAAAAAAAAAAGATTCTATGGCAAAGAGTATATTTACTGGATCCCACGAATAGATCAATTAAATTCCAGCACATCTTCCAAAACTGTTTAAAACCTCTATTTGCTTAAGTGCCTATGCTACGTGCCATACACTATGCCAGGTGCATTTTTCACCACCCCCAGAGACTTTATAAAAGAAACCAGTGACTTGCCCAAAGTTACTCAACTGGAAAAAGTTCAGCCATGATTGATTCTAGACCTGTAATTCTAGTTTAACTCCATCAACACTGCCTAGAACACGCTAACAAAAATCATTACAAGCATTTATGTTATAAACTTAAGTATAAAACACTCTTTCCAAAGAACTGTGTGAAAAGATGGCAACTTTTTAGTAATTCATGGAAAGTCAAGTACCTTGGTTGCTGCCTGGTCATACTGTGCTGTTGTTCTCACCAGTTCATCCTTATTTCTATTCAAAACTTTCTCCTTTTCAGTTAATTCCATTTTTGTTTTCTCCAGTTGGAGTTGCACCTCTAGAAATTTATTCACTTGGCCTTTCATTTCTTTTTCTTGTCCTTGTAGACGTAGTTCCAATTCATTAACCTTGCTTCTTAGCTCTTAAACCACAAATGAAAACAAACTCCAATTCATCTATATTTTTACAAAATGTTCAGAATTTATTATGTATTTTAATTTACTCTAACATCTTTGGTGAGATAAATATAAATAATTTTTATTACACACAGAAACTAACTGTATTTAATTTCAGTGGTTAATGTCTATTGTCTTTTTTTTTTCTCCTTTTCTTTTCTTTTTGTAGTGTTTGTGATTAGACCCAATGGTACACTACCAGTGAGCTACATACATCCCCAGCCCTTCTTATTTACTTGAGGCATGGTCTCACCATATTTCCTAGACTGGCATTGAACTTGAGATCCTCCTGCCTCAACCTCCCCAGTAGCTGGGATTACAGATGTGTACCACCACACCCAACTCATTTGTATTTAAATATTCTATAGAAAGCAGAGAAATAGGTTTTCTTATGTTTTCACAGAGAAATATGGGGAGAAAATGCTTCTCTAAAATACAAACAGCATCTTACAGAGCTGCAAAAAAAAAAAAGTACAACTTGTACAACAAACACCTAAAATCTAAAATTATCACTTAGCTGGGCGTGATGACACATGCCTGTGATCCCAGTGATGAGGGAAGCTAAGGTAGGAGGATAGTCAAGTTTAAAACCAGCCTCAGCAACTTATCAAGGCCTCAAGCAACTTAGCAAGACCCTGTCTCAAAATTAAAAAATAAAAATAAAAAAGGGCTAGGGATGTGATTCAGTGGTAAAGCACACCTGGGTTCAATTCCTGGTATCAAAAAATAAAAATTACCACTTGGTATTATACACTGGCAAAAAAATATTTGTTCTGTGCCCCAAATTAATGCTAAGCAATAAAAATTCACCCTTGTACAGTCTCTGGTGGCTTTACCTTCAGTAAAAATCAAGATGGCGTGAACCTCTCATACTACCAAATTTTAACACTGATTTTTTTTCCATTTTTTTCCTACATGCACACAATAGTGTTTCCAATGGCACTGGCAGCATGACAGCTCTCACCAGTGAACACTGAGAATGATTTCCAATATATCACAGTACTGTAAATTACCATATTCTCCAGAGTAGATTCCCAAACACCACCTGGTACGCTTGGCTGTCAGCTGCTTCATGACACAGCAGCCAGGGTTACAGGTTTGCTCCCATATGGACAGCCTGGCAGTGCAGGGAAAAGCTGCTCTGCTGATACACACCCTGCCTCTGGCCAAAGCTGATCAGAACATAGGCTTTTTCCATGGGCCACAACAGGAGCCAGATAAGAAGTGTGGAGAGTGCAAACTGCTACCAACCTACTTGCTCCACTTCAGGAAAGATAAATCTAAGCCTCTCAGCCTACTTTTAAAGGCTCAGGGCACCAGCTTTCAATACAAATAAAAGTACATTTCAAATCTGTGATGTCTTTTTTACTATTGAAAAGACAGTATTTCACATCATCAGTCAAGGATGTTGACCACTGATGTGTCTAAAACACATAAGCACGAACCAGGAATAAAAATATCTGGAAATGCCTCTGAAGTTATCTCAGCAAATTTTAATTTAAACTTAATTTAGCTATAGAAGTTACCTTGATTCTGGGCTTTACATTGATCCAAAAGATGAGAATTGCTAGAATTATCACAGCCACTACTACTAACATCTCTTTTTCCTGTTTGAAAAGTTGATCTGCTTGGAGTCACCTCTTCTTCCCCAAAAATGTGAGATGCAAAGAAATCTCTCCTATTTGGAGTTTTCTGAGAATTAGAGGAAAGTCTATTTGGGGTCTTCTCCTGTTGCCATGAGAACACAGATGATGATGTCTGATGTCGAGCAATGTCCCGATGATTCATGAGGGTTTGGGGAACAGCCTGGCTAGCTTTCTGTAAAAACAGAAACTCTTTAGAGACCATTGGAAATTGCAATATTCAAGACTATTTCTTTTTTTTTTTTAATGTGGTACTGAGGATTGCATTCAGTACCTCATGCATGCTAGGCGTGTGCTCTACCTCTGAGCCCCAACCCCAGCCCCACAAGACTATTTCTTTTCAGGTAGAATATTTTCAGGTAGAATATAAAGCTAAAATTACAAGCTGTTGACACTTGCATTGCATACCATCAAGTCAAGGAAACCATTAAGTCCCAATTTACAGTGATAGAATATTCTAAATGTCAATCCTTCTTGTCATTGAAGGGACAAGCCGTATCATCTAAGCCTGACCTATTTCAAAAGGACTTTTTTCTGCATTGCTTATCAACTCCATTCAACATGTGAGTATTTGCTGACATTTTAAATACCAAAATTGGCTTTCCTTTGCCTATCATTGGTCACCTTTCTACAACTTCAGAATCAAAATTAAATATTAGCCTGCAGAACCCTTTCAACCATATCACTTCACCCAAAAATGCTATTTAGGATGTTTTATATTACAGAATATACACATTTGTGAATTATCTACAGTTTTGAATTGCTCTTTCTCACAAATATCAAGACTTGGCTCTAGATGCTACGTTAAACTTTTTATACCAAGAACTTGTTTTTTGGCATAGGAAAAGGTTTAGTGTTGATGAAGATTCACATTCCACATAAAGTAACTATGGGAGAAACAATGTCAGGGGCAGAACAGGTACCAATGACTGAACTGGATGACAAAGCACATGACATTTCTAGGACAAATGAGAGACTTATTACTTTTCATTCATCTTGAGGAGCAATGCCTTTGGTGAACTCAAAACAAGGGTTAAAGGCATGAGAAGGTAAATACTTGTTAAAATTCTAAGAAATAGCCAGGTGCAGTGGCACACTCCTGTAATCCCAGCAACTCAGGAGGCTAAGGCAGGAGGATCAAGAGTTCAAACCCAGCTTCAGCAACTTAGCGAGGCCCTAAGCAACTCAGTAAGGTCCTAAGCAACTCAGTGACACCTTGTCTCTAATAAAATATAACACAGGGCTGGAGTTATGACTCAGTGTTAAGCACCCTAGAGTTTAATCCCTGACACCAAAAAAAAAAAAAAAAAAAAAAATTCTATGATATAGGTTGATTGTGATTCTCAAAAGTTAAAGGGGCCTACTTCACCCTTAAACTGTTTGCTGAATTATGCCACCTTAGTAAGTTTCTATGTTTATTACATTAAGTTCCTAACTAGGAGCCAGGTGTGTTGGCACACACCTGTAATCCCAGTGGCTTGCCTCAGCAAAAAGCAAGGCACTAAGCAACTCAGTGAGACCCTTTCTTTAAATACAATACAAAATAGGGCTAGGGATGTGGCTTAGTGGTCAAGGGCCCCTGAGTTCAATCCCTGGTACCAAAAAAAAAAAAATAGTTCATAACAAAGAAATGTATTGTAAGTAGCAAACTTAGATTTTTTTAAGAAAATGACATCATGTGAACAGAACTGGTGAAGGTAAAATTCAACAGGCATCAGGTATTTTCAAAGTCAGTCCCTGAACTACATGTAGGGGTTTTAGAAACCTGCATTATTTTTTAATTTTATTGACACTGAATAAACCTCTTTGCCATTTTCTGTTTGTTTATGCATATCAAAATGGAGTGCAAACCTCTCCTCAGCAGCTTATTTTTTTAAAAAATTGAGAAAATTGAGTTGATAACATTCTTCTCTGAAATGAACATGTCACAAATAACATGTCCCTAGTACCAATCGCATTTCATCAGAGGACCATATAGGAAGCAGCCGCCTCCAGGTGCCAAAGCCAGCCAGTATCAGGAATAACTCTTGGGTCCTGCTCTCTCCAAAACAAACTTCTTATCCCTAGATCTTAATAAGGAAATAATTATATGGCTATGGTTCTCCTAGAATTTAAGGACAAATTAACCTCTCTATTTTACTCACTCCTACCTAGTTTTAAAAATAAGAATTAACAGTGCCAATGAGCCAGGAATTGTTTCCAGTATAAGAAAAAAAAAAAAAAAAAAAAATCAACTCTACATAAAACAGATTCTTCTCTAATCTTGTTCTATCCTATAATCAAGGATTTCTATGAATGCATATTCTACATTACAGGGCCCATCATTAACTTACTTTAGACTGCAAGGCTTTAACCTCTGCCTCTAATCTTTTTCGTTCTTCAACTTCTTTATTATATTTTTCTTTTAGATCTTCATACTTGGAACCTAAACATAGACAACAAATACTATTTTATTTCAGTCATTGATTTCATGAAGGAATTCACAGATCAATAATCACTGTGATAGTCTAGAAGTAGAGTATCATAGAGCACCAAGTAGAAGGAACATTTGGTTAGGGCAACAGATCAAAATATTGATCAAGTATCAACATACTTGGGAGACACAGGAATGTTCTGAAACAATCTGTTTTAAAACACACCACACAAAGATAAAGTGTAAAGGTGAGCACTTACCCCTATAGCTCAACATAATTCCACAGACGTGCCAATGAATTTTTTTAAACACCGAAATTAAAAACTGAATTCACAGTTGAATTAATTTTTCACAGAATTAAAATCTCAAATTTAAAAATCTGTTAATACCAAGAAAAATAATCTTTACCACTGTAATAATGACTTGGTGTTAGTGGAGTTGCAAAAAGTTTTTGTGGTGTATTGCACAGATTCAGGGAGACATCTGCAGACTGCGCAGCTTGTTGACTTCTTTCAAGTTCAGATTTATACCTGTTAGAAAATAATGCAAAACGTGACAAATCAGTTAGAAGAAAGGCTACAGAATACCAATGTCATACATTACCAGTGGAAAAAGGACTTACAAAGAAACCCATTGTTTAAGAACAACTAACCATAGACATTGAATAAAAATTAATTTAATAAGTGCTAATTATAAATGCAGTAATTCCACAAAAGAATGGAGTCAAAAGTTACAGAAATATAACTATACGCCAATAATTAAAATGTTATAAAGACTTTAATGAAGATCTGTAATAACCACTACATCAGCAAAGAGTTGGAGGGTTGAGGATATATTACAACAAATTTTATATTCTAAGTCAAAGAAAGAATAGGGACTTGTAAGAACTCAGAACTTCGGAAACATGGGGAAAAAATTATATCATTGAAGCAATCACAAATCACAAGAATGGATGATACAACTTATGATATTTAATCATTTCAAAATCAGTCTTGATGTCTAGATCAGGCATTATATGACATTTTTATATAAAAATTAATAATATACACCTAGAAAAGATATGGCTAGAAATAGTTACAAAGAAATGAGTTAAGTAATTTATATATGAATAGAATAATATTCCTATCCTACAAGTAAATTTTAAATACATCTCAGAACAAAATAATCCAGGTTAAAAAAAGGGTTCAATTCTGATGTTAAAGAATTTTCAACTCTTGCAAGTCTCTAATGTCTCAAATTTTGCTTAATGTAAGAGATAAAATCAACACCCTATTAAAATGGCTAAGGATATGCTCTCTTTCCTTGGGTATATTACTCAAAGCAAGGAGTGAAGAAAGTAGTAAAGGAAGTAAGTCAGTGCCCTTAACTTCTCCCAGCTCCAATTCAATCTGGGAAGGAAGAAACACCAATTGAGCTAAAAATAATGACAACTCAGCACATGAAAGTTTACAGTTGGGAAAGCAATGCCCAATAGAAATCTTCTGCTAGTATTTAAAGAGCAACAGCAAACAAGTGAAATTAATTTTTAAGTTTTGTTAACTTGCCACTGTGGAGATACTCTGTTTGACTTGAAATTTAAAAATTGAGACATTTTTTGTAGTAAATCTTCAGAACTAAGTACGCAATATACATTTACAACACATCTCAATTAGGAGCACATTTTAAGAGCCATATGTAGCCAGTGGGTACCATATTGGCAGTGCAAGTATATAGGCTATAAAAGGCGTAACAAGCTGATTCTAGAGACAAATTTTGAAGAACCTTGCAAAACTAATGTTTCTTTTCCCTCTCAAATTCACATCTTACTTCCTCTTCACTATCCTTTCATTTATAAACAAAAAATATATACTTTATCTTAATATTAAGTAAAAATATATCCTACTGTAACATTTTTTTTCCTCCTTCCACCCCAGGTAGAAAAATAAAAGACACTGCTACCAATAAAGCACTAAATTAAATTGTTTCTACTATGTTGAACCTTTTAGATTGCCAATACCTATACTTTCGACAAATATTCTAAAAGGTTAAGTCTAACTTGTTGAAGACTCTCCGGAAACCTAATCAGTAGTTACTGATAGAGTAAATAAATTCCTGCCATTTGAAAGTTGTAAGAATCTAAAAATTATATTCAATCTTTTCTGCAATCTATAGTTATTGCACTCATAAATTTTTATAATGTAGAAACCTACATTCAAGTTTCTATACTCTATAGTATGTATAACCATATAGCTAATAATTATTTTATTTTTATACAGGTTGCCCAGGTTGGCCCTGAACCTGCAATTTTCTTGCATTGGCTTCCAGAGTAGCTGGGATTATAGGCTACCATGCCTGGTAATATTTTTAAACTAAATATACCATAAAAGTGTCCTAACCCCATGAGGACGACAGTGTCAACTTTTTTTTTTTTTTTTTTTGGTACCAGCGATTGAACCCAGGGGCACTTAATCACTGAGCCACATCTTCAGCCCTTTTTTATGTTTTTGCTTAGAGCCAGGGGATCACTGAGTTGCTTAGGACCTTGCTAAATTGGTGAGGCTGGCTTTAAGCTTGCAATCTTTCGCCTCAGCCTCCTGAGCTGCTAGGATTACAGGCTTATGCCACGGTGCCAGGTGACAACTATTAAAATGGATAATATTTATAGTTGCTAGATGTCTTGCACAAACCTGGGTGTATATTGGTATTGCTACCAAATGACACTTTGCAATCAAATATAGAAATGCATACAATAGTAACCTTTTATTAAGATGTTAAAAATATAAGCATTTCTATTTCTACCTAAATTACCAAAACCAGTATTTCTAAATCCAGCTCCCAAAATGTGCTTTCCAAAGAAGCAGAGATTCCAGCATAATAAGGTGAGCTTCCTACTTCCCTAACTCCTGTCTTCCAAAACTAATTATCTTTCTTTGATTCCTTCAACAAATATTTGAAGATATACCACTTCAGGTGCTATGGATATAGCACTGAACAAGACAGAAAAGGTCCCTGTTCACCACCACACTGCCAGCAGCCTTGAGACAAAGCCACACACCCTCCCACTCCCCAACTGCCCGTGTCCAGGAGGTACTGGTCTCTCTTCTTACATGATGTGCCACTATATTTTGCATTTATGCTTTGTATATTCTACTCTTTTATAGACATGCTCTTTTATAAATGATGTATAAAATGGTTTTCCACTGTACTCCCTTCTGGATGCCAAGGGGTCCTCTTTTCTCTCCCTTGGTCCAATACATTTTTGTTTCTGAATATGACTCTGTGTGTGTGTGTGTGTGTGTGTGTGTTTTTTTAATCTAAATCTCTCCTCTGTAGTATTTTTTAAATAAATAATTGTTTATAAAATTACTGGCAAAAAAAAAGAAGGTTCCTGTTCTCATAGAACTAAGTGAGATAGAAGTTTATCTTTTTAACATGCAACTTACAAATAGCCATCATTCTACATGAAGAGGAAGAAAAATTAGAAAAACGATTTTTATACAGGAAAATTATCACCTTCACAGAAAGATGAGAGTGATTTTTAAATATTTTAACTTTCAAAACTATTGTTGATATGTAGTTATGAAGCCAGATTTAAAATTAGGTAGTCAGTGTAGTTAGGTAAATCGGGTCTAATATCAAGTAAGATCTAAAATGGAGGCCATGGAATGTTAATGAAGTCCCAAGAAAAGCCCTAGGCCCAAAGTCCATCCCAAAGAAATGTTAATGAACAGCCCCAGCAGATTTGAAGATAGCCCATCCCAAAGGAATGTTAATGAAGTCCTTCCTGCCCAGTTTACTTCTTTGGCCCACCTGTGTCCCACCCCTCGGGCCTTCCAACCTACATTCCATCACTGAAAGAATTATAAAAAGGGGAAACAACTGCACTTCCAGGGATTCCACCTCTTGGGTCCCCTTCTTCCTCTGGGAGAAGTCTTTTCTGCTGTCCTTTAATAAACTTCTAATTTCTACTCTGACCTTGCCTCGGCGTGCTTCTCTGGTGTTATTCTTCAACATTGGGGAAGCAAGGACTCGTCACCAGTCAACAGTGGTAACAGTTACAATTGAAATTATTATAGCTATGCCAGAAAAATTAATTTCATGATATCAAGGTATTCATTAGTTACAAAGGAAAAAAACAGCAACTTTATAGTAGCGGTCCCGGACCTTTACAAAGGAAGAAACTTAAGTTACAGACATCTGATATGCTATACGGAGAAAAGCACATTGGTACTTCTGCAGTAAAATTCATAACCCCAATCTGATCCAGTGATTCTCAACCAGAGAAAATTTCACTCTTCCAAAGGACATTTAGCAAAGCCTGGAGACTTGTTTAATCATCCCAATGGAATGGAGTAGATGATACTGGCATCTAGTGGTTAGGAGATATGGATGCTGTCCAGTATCCTACAACAAGCAGGTAATCCAGTCCAAAACATCAAGAGGGCTACTGTTCAGAAACACTGATCTAATCAGTAAAAAAAAAAAAAAAAAAATCAGCCAAACCCAAATTGAAGCCATTCTCCAAAACAACTGACAGGTATTTTTCAAAATATGAAGGTCACAAAAGATAAGGAACCATCACAACTTAGAAGAGGCAAAGAAAACCTCAACTAAATGCAGTGTGGAATCCTGGGCACAGAAAAAGGACATGACTAGTAATACCAGTGAAACTCTAATGAAATATATAGTTAATAGTACAAAATCAGTGTTATTTCCTGCTTGGGAGTGTACTTTGTTATATAAGGTATTAACAACAGAAGAAATCTGGATAAAGGATATAAAAGAACTCTACTAGGCTTGCAAATTTTCTTCAAGTTTCAAGTTTACTTCAAAAATAAGGTGGTGGTTGTTTACTTTTTAATTTCTGTGTATGTTTGTGGAGTCAATGGGACAATGTACTTAAGTCCTTTAAGCTATTATCACTCTGTTGAGGGCCACAGCCGAGTCCTTGCTTTCCACATTGAGGTTCAGAAATCCTCCTATATCGTGCAAACTTTCATTTATTTTATTCCTGTACTTTGATGATTTCTACATTTAATGTCTCTGAGCATCTGGAGTTTATTTTGAAGGACATAATGTGTGGATTTCATGTTCTTACCTTCATCATTAGGCATCTTTGAAATGGTCCCACTACCTTTTATGGAATCATTTGGCTTTCTCCAAATAGGGGTGGCACCTGGCATTTTGCCAGAGGGAGTGGTTGAGAGGTGATGCCATGGAGCCATCAAAATGATGGTTAAGTTAAGCTGTGTATTCAATTGTATATAAACCCCTGCTGTCCGCAGTTCTCACAGGGATTCCTGGGGAGTTCGAGTTGGTGGGTGACTTTCTGGTGGAGGGAGTTCCAGTTGGAGTGGTGTTCCTGGAAGGGCCGCGTGGGTGGCATTCACGGGAGTTCGGGCAATAAAGGAGTTCCTGTTTGAACCTACAAGTGCCTCATGGCGACTCAGTTATTTTGTGCCCAGCCAGACTGCGGCATCACTCCTTATTATTTTGACAAAATTCTATCATTAGAACAAGAGTATAGCCTTTCTTAGCTAGTAATGATTAGACTCCATTGAATTTATTTGTATTAACACCTCCAATTGGGGGATTTTTTTAATGAAAGTGGTACTAAACAACTTTTTTATTGCTTAAACTGGCAAACTGGTTTTATAATACTTAAAATGAAAGATGGAACTCTCAGAGAAGAATCTCAGTAGGAACCTCTTCAGGACTTCACTTACTCCCTCCAGCTTAGAACCTATGGTATATTAAACCACTCTCTGTGACTCCTTGACTTAAAGCTCATGAGAAATCTTTTGCTTAGTTTTGCTTTACCCTCAATTATTCCATTGTATTCAATCCCATTATCCTGCCCCAAACAAACTTAAATCAATCTGCCCATTCAGTTTCTCAGCACTTCAGATCCCAGATGCTATAAGAAACCCTCACCTCACCTCACCCCACCCTACACACTCCTCCATATTGGTTCTGCTACAAATTTCTAATCTGCAACTTCAACTGGGCCTTTTTTGCTCCTCAATCCTTTCACAATTCCCTAGTTTTAGTTCTCCCCTTCATTCTCTATAATAGCTTTTCCAGCCAGAGAAAACATGAGCCATCAGGATAAGCCATGCTTTCACTTCCTTCCATCTATTAGTGACCATTATTAACAAATGAGCTATTATCCATTATTGTATCATCCCAGTGACCAATATAGCATCTATCGCATGGACCAGCCTAATAAAGTTAAATGAATAAATAAGCAACCATTTGATGAATTTGTATTGAGCCATGTCATAACTGAACTGAATCACTGCTTACTCCACCAGAGGAAAAATATATTTCAAAATATATCAACTATATCATTAAAGAAAATAATAAATGTATCTGATGACATAGAAATAATATTCATATAAATCCCATTCAAATAAATTACCTTTTAAGTTCCTGTTCCAGTTTTTCTATTTGTTTTTTGCCTGCACTCAATTGTCCTTCTTGGAAATTCACTTGTGACTCCTTGACTTGAAGTTCATGAGAAATCTTTTGCTTAGTTTTCTCCAAATTTTCACATATTTCCATCAATCTTTGATTCTCCCTTTTCAGGTTTGTACCCTCGGTTTTTTCATTTTCAACCTAATAGGAATCATTGGGAAGGAAACAGGTCCCTTATTTTGCAAATTTACCAAGTGTACTTGTGGATTTAACAATCCTCTGAGGTAAAGTTGTAATAAGCAAGACGTCAATGTTTCTGAACACAGAAATTTTAGGTCACCACATTCTGAAGCCTATAAAGAGAAAAGTTCTACAAAATCACATTTTACACTATCTTTTGGTCAGGGCTACCCCTATTCATCTAGCAAGTCAAGCTTTATCATCGTTTTAAGAATAAAAAAATTACAAATGAACACTATACCTCTCCCTCAGCAATTCATTTTCAAGTCTGGCTAAAGTCAGTTATTGCAAGAAATCAGAAAATTCTCCCACAAGCAAAAAAACAAAACAAAACAAAAAAAAATTTAGAAGCAATGATCATACCACTACTTTGTTGGTTAATACAGAGGTACAAAGAAGTACTATTTAAGTTTTCATTTACTAGCCCCGAAGAGAAATTGGGGAATACCAAGATAAAAAGCCCATATCAGAAAGTGGTCTCCATTTTCTATAAAAAGACTGTAATAATAACCCGATTTGAAGCCAGGAACTTTGGCCTTTGCTGTGAAATGCAACTGCAATTTCCAATTCAGGTTCCCAAACATAGGTTTAAAAGGAACTCAACAGCCCTAAATATCAGCAAATAGGCCGAAAAGGGGGAAAAGATCAAGGAAATTTGAGGCAATTAAAAATGTCTGGGGTTGGGAGGGGGAGCATGGGAAGATTAGACAAACTCTAGACAGGGCAAAGGAATGGGAGGGGAAGGGAGGGGGCAAGGGGGTAGGAAAGACAGTGGAATAAGATGGACATCGTTACCCTAAGTACATGTATGAAGACACAAACAATATGAATATACTTTGTATACAACCAGAGATATGAAAACTTGTGCTCTATAAGTGTAATATGAGTTGTAATACATTCTGCTGTCATATATAACAAATTAGAATAAAAAATTAAAACAAATTTTAAAAAAATAAAAAGTCTGAAGAGAAGGAAGGGGATTACCACAAAATCACTTCTAATTTTTTTAAAGTATTTTTTAGACATTGATGCATTGATGCATGACCAATGTGATTCTGCAACCTATACACTCAGAAAAATGAGAAATTATATCCCATCTGATTAAAATATATGATATGTCAAGATCATTGTCCTGTCATGTGTAACTAATTAAATCAAATTTTTTAAAAAGTATTTTTTAGACATTGGTGGACCTTTATTTTATTCATTTATTTATATGTAGTGCTGAGAATCGAACTCAGTCTAGGCAAGCACTCTACTGCTGAGCCACAACCCCAGCCCTCTCTCTAAATTTAAAGGTGAAATAATTAATCCAAAAAACAAGTGAATACTGTCAAATGTCAGTGATACCTTCTGTTTCTGTTTTTGCAGTGCAGCCTCTAGAGTATCAAGTTGAAACTGTCTTTGCTGCTTTTCTTTCTTCAGTTTGTCTAGCTGTCCTTCAAGCTCTTGAATTTTCTGTAGAGCTCTTGTAGGGAGGCCTTCCTTCCATTCTTCCAAAGCCCAGCTCATTCTGTTCTCCTTTCTGTATTATTCCAACATTTATAAGAAAACTGAAAAGAATAACCAGATTGTTGGTCTTACTGCAGTAAAAGGAAACTTAAAGTCAGAGACTACCTCAAAGAATCAAGTTTCAAAAAATGACAACTTTCAAAAGATAATGCAGTGTATTTGTCTTCTCCATCCTCTGAAAGGTGACTACCAATAATTCTGATTATGAAGTATATAATACATTTGTTGGGTTTCCCCTTGCTTTTTGTTTTTCTTCTGTCTCAGTTTTGACTTCTTATATGGCTACCTGCTTTCTACTGCTTAGTTTGCTTTCATTACATAAAACATGAATATTTTGCTCTAAGGTTGTTTTCAGGTGAAATATGCCCTACATATAAACAAATAAAGTACAAAATTAATTTGCAAATTCTCTTCTTTCCCTCTTCACATCAATAATTACCACTCACACCTCATCCCTCATCTTCTGGGAAAACTTTCTGACATAAAAAGGAGCAACTTAGATGATAGAGGGAAATAAACAAGGAAAACTGGTAAGTTAAATGTTTTTCCACTCCAAAGTCTAACACACAGCTATGTAAATATATCTATCTAAATATATTTATATTTATAAATATACTTAATATATGCTACATATATAATTAACACACATTTTGACAAAGTAAGGCATCAGCTCTCAGCCATCTGTACTGACCCACTGGGACAAAAGAAAAAGTAAACCTGAAAAATAAAATTTGAGGAGCATGGTTTGGGTGGGAGAAGGAAGACGGTAGAAGAAAATTCTGTATGTGAAGGTTCCAGCAAGGAGGATTTTCAGGACTAACACATCCTTTCCAGAAAAATGCTTTGTCTTTACATATTAAATATGTACAGGGCACTCTTCATGCCTCAATCACCTAACCCTTGTAAAATCCCCAAGGCAATTCTTTTCTGTGACCCACCCATCCCCAGCTTTTCAGGCCCGCATTCACCTTTCCCTTTATCAAAATTCCCCTTCACTAAAAACCCCGGAGTCCCCGCCTATGGTCCCGGGGCTGGTTAAGTATTCTGCCTCCTCCGGACAGGGTCCGTGTAATTCATTTCTGGGTCATCACATAGCAGAGCCTGACACACAGATCCTTCCCAATAAATGTGGAAGACAGGAAAAGTGAGAAGAGGGAGGAGGAACGATCTCCTAACCAACAATAGGCAAACTCCGCCGCCCAGACCAAAACAACAAAGGACTAGGTTCCTATTTCTAAATAGAAGCCATGGTTCCCGGAGAGCTGCTTGAAAATACCTGGTCATCTCCAGTTCTGTTACCTTAAGGAGGAGGAAACCGATTCCCCCAAAGTGCTAGTCCGTGACGGAACAGCTTCTCCGCTCCCTAGAATGAGCCGTTTCAGCCCGAGCCGAGGTGGGCCCAACCCACGAACCTCACCCCACACTCCAGCGCGGTTAGGAATGGGACCGGCCACCAGCACCACAGGGACGCGAGCGCGAGTCAGAGGCAGCCCTGCCCAGTCAGAGGCAGCCCTACCCAGCATCCGCGGGCAGCAACTAGCGGTCACTGGGCCGGCCACCAGAGCCGGGACGCAGGCAGTACGCTCACCTTGCTACCTTGCTTTAAGGTTGTTTCTAAGGTTGTTGGAAGGAGAGAAAACAATCTCTCAGAGTGTCCGGTTCCGATGCAGCCTCCGCGAGGCTGAAGGCCTGATCCCAATTCAAACTGCCCGCGATCCACTCTCCCACTTCCGGTCCCGACCAAACTCCCCTTCAATTCTATTGGTCACTGTAAGGAGATGTGCACCAATCAGTTTCCGTTCATTCGGCCTGCCTCCTCTGATTGGCTCTTTTGGATGAATTTTAAAAAACCAGCCCTCACTGCTGGTGGTGCCTGCGCCAGGGCTCAGAAGCATTTTTACTGTTGCCTTGGAGACGGAGACCATGTGCTTTTGCTGAAGCTGGACAAAGTTTTGAACAGCTACTTCCGCAAGAGCCAGGGAATGTGCCGGCTCGATTAGAAGGGTGTGGCCTATCGAGGACTGACTGCGGAAGGGTGCTGTCTGGTGAAAACTTACACATATCTACTTCTGTATTAAATTTAAGACGTAAATACAAAGTACTAAGCTTGTCATGCATTCTTCAACCAGCGAAAATTCTTAATTCTTTGAGAGAACTATTAGCCTTATTTAAAAGTTAACTGAAGCACGTAGAAGCCAAGTAATTTGAAATTGGATCTGGACAGACAGACTCCCCCTTTTTCCTGCTGACCTCTATTGATCACGTTTTGAAGGGGATGATTCTGAACACTTGCTAACCGGAATTTGAGGGAAAAACATTCCATCAGACTCAAATACTCAGAAATATTGCATCAAAATTGGATGTAATTAATTTCTCCTTTTTATGAAGCCCACTGATTTTGTATATTCTTATATAATTGTTTATTTTCCTATTCAACTACAAGTAAGCTTCTAAACGCAAGAGCAAGCTGTGACTTGCTAAATTAATATACGTCTAATGTGTTGTTCTCTTCAATAAGTTCCAAACACTACCTTTCATTAAAGTATTCCTAGAGCCTAGTCTGCTCCAATTCAAAAGGCATTTTCTTTATGAAAACTCTCTGTCCCGACGCACCCCTTAAAAATAGTTATTTCCTAGTTCTTTCCTGATACTTGGCTATACTTCAGTTTTAAGTTTTTTGACATGTCTTATATTTATGGCCATAGTTGGTTCCTCCATCAGACTCAAAAATTCCTTTTGAGTAAAATCTATTTTATTTTTGCACGTATATTAATTTAAAAAAACATCTTCTTTGGAGATAAAACTGCCATCTGAAGAAAGATCAAGTTCCCTGAGATCTTTGAATCCCCAAGAGGAGAACAGGGAACACATGGAAGAAGAACTTTTGTGGTACACAGTTAGATCAGTCTAGTATCTGGTAGTTCTGGGATTTGACCCAAATTCTAGTTCCAATACCAATTGCTATTTCATTGCCTCCTACAGTAATTTTTCAATTATTTATTAGCTGCCTAAGGAAAATAAAAATGGAAAGAAAAATTATAGAAGATTTTAAAGGTTTGAATGCACAATGTTCATTTTATTCATTACTTAGAAGATATTTATCTAGGGGCCACTGAATAACCAAGCCTTGTGCTACATTCTAGAATAAACAAAAATAATACATTCCCTTCTTGAGCAAAGGAATCAGGTGACAAAACTATTCTAGTAATTTCTTTGATATTTCTTTGTCTTCAATTGTATAGTTCTCGTTCCACAAGCAAAAACATTTTGAAGGCAATGCTCATACCACTACTTCATTGGTTTTAAACTATTTAATGTGGTTCTAAAAGTCACAGAGGCTTTATTTATTTCTCCAGTCTTTTTCTTCTCCAGTCTACATTTCCTTTTAGATAGGATCTACTAATATTTTTTCAGGTTTACTGATCTTCTCTTTTCTAATATTTATTCTGCTGCTCATTTTGTCCACTGAATTTTTACTTCCAGCTCTTGACTTATTATCTTGTCGGTTAAGATTCTCATTTCCTGGTTTTTTTTTTCCTTTTTTATAGAGATTTTTTAATTGGATGCCAGATATGGTAAATTCTACATTTTTAATTTTGTTTTACTGCTCGAAAGAATGACACATGTAATTCTGACAGGTTACTCAAGATTTAGTTTATTTTGTAAGTTGTTATTAAATTTTTTTAATATTTATTATTTTTTAGTTGTAGTTGAACACAATATCTTTATTTTATTTTTATGTGGTGCTGAGGATTGAACCCAGGGCCTTGCATGTGCTAGGCAAGCGCTCTGCCGCTGAGCCACAATCCCAGCCCCTGTTTTTAAATTTCATAAAGATAATTCTGAGAGTAGCCTCTCTTCTAGGGCTATTTATGCCATTTCTTTCTTTAATATATTTTTTTAGTTGTAGATGGACACAATACCTTTATTTTATTTATATATTTATTTAATGTGGTGCTGAAGATCAAGCCTAATGCCTCACTCTATTTAGGGCATTTCTAAGACATGTTTCTTCTGGGTTTCTATTGCACTTCCCCGTGTAGTTAGCAAGTTCTTTCCACTCTTGGTTGATGGGAACTCAGACAACCTGTAGCCCTGAATGAGCTCTTTGAATGTGTGACTCACAGCTCTCCCCCAAATTGTTCTTTTCCTGACAGCTGTTGTTTTCCAAACTTCACACAGAATGCGCAGATATGAATGCGCAGATATATATTCAAAGACTCAGGAGACCCACATCAGATCTCCTAAGTTTCACCTCTGCATCACTGCTTCCTCTCTGGTCCTCTTTTCTGTAAATCTCACCTTCTGTGGCCTCCCCCAAATTCTGACTTATATATCCTCTCCTTTGGCTCTAGCAGTATTGCAATCTCTATAACCATCAATAAATTTAATTCTCAAATCTGCATCTCTAATCCAGGTCTCCTCTTAAATTTCATACTCGTGTATTCAACTATCCATTCTGAATAAATAATATCCCAATTCACTCAGCTGCCCAAGATGGAGACTTTACAGTCACCCTTGTCTGCTTCTTCTCTATCATATCAAGACTGACCCCCACAAATATCCCCAAATCTGTCCTGTGTGCTCCATTCTTACTGCTCCATACATAGTCCTACCTACCATCAATTCTTTGTTACTGCAAAAGCCTCCGGGTTGGTCTTACAACTGAGATTTTATTACTTTAAGTTAGGACTTTGATATGAAAGAGATGAGACCTAAATTGAAAATATTCAAATGTGTCCAAATCAGCTCCTTTCATGATGATTTTTCTAGTCAAGACTCTATAATCCCTAACCCACTTTCCTTCCTTGTCTCTATACCTCTCCTTATGCCAGGAAACAGCTTCTGAAATAGTTACTGAAAAAAACTTGTGCTGGCTGAAATCAGGGATGTATAGTGTGAGAGTAGATCTTAAGGAAGTTGGGAAGCAAGAGATTATAAAATATAGAGCTGGTAGGTTAGGGCTTATAGGCATGGGAGAACTCTCTCTCTACAGGGGATTTAACATTCCTGGCAAGGGCACCTGGAGCTGGTACTATGAGGATGGCTCCCTACCACTTGAACCTGAAGGTGACATTTAGTGAGGTTGAGATAATAGAACCATATTTAAGAGTACTGAAAGGATTATAAGTCTCAAGAAAATAGGAAAGTTAGACTGGATTTATTACCTAAGACCACCACCTGATTATCATTTCTAGGAGGGCCTAGAGAACAATGCCTTCAATAAGACAATAAAGAACATTCTAGTAAGTGGAATACCAATGTCTTTAAGAACTGTAGGGCTGGGGATGTGGCTCAAGTGGTAGCGTGCTCACCTGGCATGCGGGCAGCGCTGTATTCAATCCTCAGCACCACATACAAATAAAGATGTTGTGTCCACTGAAAACTAAAAAATAAATATTAAAAAATTCTCTCTCTCTCTCTCTCTCCCTCTCTCTCTCTCTCACTCTCTCTCTCTAAAAAAAAAAAAAAAGTTTAATGGTAGCTGACCTCTGTAGGCCAGGACTGACAATAGGACATGTTACTATGGAACTGGGCACCGAAGTGTTGAGGTGGAAGATAGGATTCCAGAATGTCCTAGACCAGGACCAGTATTTAACCATCTTGTCAAAACAAAATGAAAGTTATTTCTACAATGTACGACACAACTGGAATAGAAACTAGACAGTAAGGACCTGTAACTATGGCTAATAGATTATATTGTGTTCCTAGGAAAAGAGAGAGTTGAACAGCATACTTGAGTTTTGCTTGATTTATGTAACCAGAAAAACTCATACAATGGCCCAGAAGAAAGCTGAAAGCCACTATAATGCAAAATCAATTAAGCATCTTGTGCTTGGCCATATCATTTGGATGATCTAACAATGCTAGTGTCAGTTAGGCTTCCATTTCTGTGACCAAAATACCTGAAAAGAACAACTTAGAGAAGAAAAAATTTATTTTATTCACAGTTTCAGAAGTTCAGTTCATGGTGGGCCAACTCTATTGCTCTGGGCTGAAGTTGAGGCAGAACATCATGGTGGAAGGGTATGGTGGAGTAGTGCTACTCCATTTTTCATGGCAGCCAGGAAGCAAAGGCTGGGTGGGTAGAGACCACAGGAAAGATGAACCCTCTCAAAATAGGTCTGCAGTGATGCACCTCCTCAAGCCAAGCCCCACCTTCTATAGTTAACACACAGTTGTTCCATTCGACCTAGAACGGACTGGTCAGGTTTACAGCTCTCACAATCCATTCATTTCACCCCTGAACATTCCTGTATTAACACGGGAGTTTTGGGAGGGACATCTCACATTCAAACCATAACCGATGGCAATAACCATGGAAAATAAGGTTAACCCCTCCAGCAAGCTTTAGTAAAAGATCTTTTACACAAATTCTCAAGTATTCTGGAGCAAAGACATGTTTTCTCTATTATAGAATGACTTACCATTTAAAATGCAGCACCTATTGTGCTACTGGGCCTTGATAAAAAACTAAGCACAGACTGTGGAACATTAGATATGTAAACAGAACTGTCTGTCACTGTGTGTTGTCAAAACCACAATGTCAGAGGTTCTCATGAGGCCAGCAATAAAGCATCCTATAATAAGGCTCAAGCAGGTCCAAAGAACTTACATAAATAGGTAGCCACAAATCACATCTACTGTTTCTGTCAATGTACATTTATGGCCTTATGGTGGGCTCCCCAAAACTAGCCCACAAAGAAGTCATCACAGATGAGATGA